AAGGGACCTGGCGAAGCAGGGTGATGAATTTGGGCACATATTTGAAAAACTGCGTAAGCTGCCTGTAGAGTATCTCGTCAGTCACCTTTCCTTGTACACATTGCCGCGATGAGTCGCGTCGACGCACTGTAAAGAAAAAAACAACAGATGTTAGACGATTAAACCCTCCTCCAACTCGTGGGTTTCTTCTGTCGTTCTGATGAAGAAAATCGGTTTTTTTATTGCCATGGATCCATGATGCCTTGGACGTGTAGGAGGGGCCAGGTGTTGTCCACCTTATACATGACAAGTAGTTATTGGCAGATTCCCATGGAACTCGAAAAGCAGAAAACCCCGTGTTGTGAACCAAACGATCTATAAGGAATAAAACGTATACCTTGCGGGTTAGCAAATGCTCCGCAACGTTCCAGAGCTGATGAACTTCGGTATGGTATCAGATAGCATCACTTCATTTCAATGAGACTATCTTATTCTCTTTGGGGGCCGAGAAACATTTACACTCCCTCCAGAAAGTTCCGCTTTAGTGCCCCAGGTCTACACCTTAAGGCATTGTATTCCTCGTTTATACGCTCTGACAAGAAGTGATTTGTCTCGATCCAGAAAAAGTTGCCGTGGTAGACGTCTTAACGCCAAAACCGTTACTCAATTTGTCAAAAGAAAAAATCCCGTTTGATGGGTTCCGCCCCATTAGAAAGCATTTCTTGTTTTGAGAAGGTCATTACGAGCGGGCCTATGCTATAACATTTCCGGACGATCAAAATAGAAATAGACGCGGGTCACGCCGGCTTGAACCTAGTAAGGACATGGAGCAAGTGGTAGCCTATGCAAGAAAGCGTTTCGCGGTCCAAAGGCAAGATAGAATTCGTCAGAAGCGAAAGGTATGTCTGTTGTTTAAGTCGTAAAATGTTACCCTTACCGGTATAAATGACGGGTCATGGTGACCATTGACAGTAGTGCTTTACCTTTAGACAAAAGACTTTTGTCCCAAGCTGGCTTGGTTCGCCCCGGAGTTGTTTGAATGATTTCGACATGTCAAACCGTAACGTGAACGCGTTGTTGCGGCGTTATGTTAGGGCGCTCTGGGAAAGGATAGCTGCGTTTGTATCGTTTGCAGCATATCAGCTAGTGAGCTTTTTGCCACCACGGCCATTCAGGCAAAGGCTGCCCGCTAGCTGATATTTTCTTCGTTTTCGGAGTAAAGCGTCTGGGTAAGGATTCGGAAGCACGTTCTCAGCTCTGGCATTTGTCAGCAAAGCCACAAGTACCCTCTAATCTAAACGCATGTGGAATCCCCGATGCGCCCTTTCGGAAAAACAGGCTTGGTTTTCATTGATTTTGCGCTGAGAAGGCGTCTCTGTGAAAAGGAGTAAACTGTAGTGTCCACGCTGCAGTAAAAATCCTTTTCACTCTTCGAAGCTGGGACGCCATGAATGCAGAGTAAAAAAGTTACTTCGGGTCTGTATGTCCGGCAGTATCCAATGTATTCTAGCAGTCGCTATGTAAGGAGCGCCGTAACTCAGTTGTAAGCGAACGAAGTGGCGGAGCAAACGATCCACACGGTCACACAACGCCTGATGGCGGGACTGCTAGAAGCTGGCAATTCGCATATCTCTGCGTTGTTTCTTGTCGCTTTCGCGGTGAAAAAAACGGCCAGCGACTTCCTGGGCCCAACTCCATTACATTTACTTAACGGATTCCACCTCGTGCTGCATAAGGAAACGTCGGAGGCGTGGTCAGGCCAAACGCTTAGCCGTTTTTAAGCTCCAGAAAAGCTTACACTTGGCTTTGTCGGTGGAAGCAGATCCCCGCGACGGCATTTCCCTTCCACCTTTCCACCCTTTCAGGCCCGGAAAGTCCTTCATCATGTGCCTTTAATACCAGCGGTGCAATACGTTCCGGAAGCTGCTGCCGAAGTTTAACCTGGATGAAACTTCAACATGTTGGTATCGGTAAGCGGTACACCTATCGCTTACACAATCCAGTACAAGGGTCACCCCCCAATCTGCGAGACGTCAGAAAAAGTGTGCATCGGGATGGATATACTTGATAGTGGGATGAAATGTGTTATCGGTTCCGGCCGGTGATGGCTTTCAGCTGTTAAGTGCTAGTCGGTGGCGATCCAACCTCAATTGTTACTGCAATATTTATCTTGGACATAGAACAAGCTGACTAGGATATCGGTGTCCCGCCTCTAGCATTATGCTGATTCACCACAGCAGTAAAAATGACTTTAGTTCAAGTGAAACAACGACCCTTACTAACTTAGCATGCTGATAAGAACGCTTTTTTTTGCTATACGAGTGTAGCACCATTCGCGCGTAGCAGTTTTTTGTTGACAAGTGTACAAAGGTTGCTAAACGTAAAAAATCAAGAGGAACATGTACTACATATTGTGCTACAAATTGTATTCATGCTGTATTAGACAAATTTCTGCTCTGTGTTAACTTGTAGAAATTGTACTCATGCTTAAGTGAAATAAGCTGCTGGGTTTGCTTTTTGTCAATGCTAAAAGCCGAATAAGCTGTACGACCATGCCGAGGCGGTTAAAGACTGCCGCCATGTATCGAAGGATTAGTGAAACTCTCAAAGGATTTAGACGAAGTAAGGGGTAAGACCAACGCGGCACCAAATATCCTGGCAGCTTACAACTACCTGCCAACCCAACTAACTCCCACTAATAAAATAGGTTTATTAATTATCCTTAAAAAAACCTAGACCTCGTAGAACTTTGCAACGAAAAGAGAATGGTTCAGCGATTAGCTGTGCAAATACTTAATCACAAATTTATCATGAGCAGATTCAAGAAATGGAGAGAATACAAGAGTTTGACAAAATCATTAAAAACACAATCAAACCCTATTTCGGGAGCGTTAAATTCCAGTAGAATGATGCCTTGTTATGATCATCCGTAAGACACAAGTAACTAATGAAAGACGGTTCTTTGTGTTTGATCACGTTCGTCTATATGTTGCTATGAGTTGGGAGCCAAACTTAAGAGTGAAGATCTTAAAAAGAACGTCAAACAATAAATATCGTTGTTCGTAGTAATCAGATGCTACATAAATGCCTTATCTATGAGGTAACGCATTTTTATGCTAACAAATACTTACACAATTGGAAGTTATTCACCGGTGCGAGGCAAACCGGAGACAAGAACCTAACGCGTCTAGTTTCCTCTATCTACGTTAGTAAAGCTTTGAGGTACAAATTTGTCCGACTCCAATCGGTCGAAGGGCACAGGTCGGGCTGATTTGGCACAGAAAGTGTCCTCTTTGTCAAGCTCTTATAACACCTACGACAGTTTCTAGACACAACACTTTTTTGTGCGTCGCGATTTCGAGAGCATCTCGCTTACGAGAATGAGACCTGCTTATCTATGAAGCCTTTATAGTACGAAACGCTGTACGTTAGCGTTCCAGCCGCTGCGTGGTAGCTAAACACGCTTGAGTGATTAGTGCTAAGAGAAAACAGCGCGCTGACCTTGTGTTGTGTAACCTCTCTGTGATCGGGACTGAAGCCCTCTATAGGATGAAGTGATTACATTTTTACCCTATATGTGCAAAAAACAAAAAAACACAGGCCTTCGGCGTCGTAAAGCGAAGGGAGCTCGGAGAGCTGTAGACGAAGCAAAGGAGCTAAAAGATTGGGAGCGGTCACGCACTATAGAGGCCACATACCTCATGACCAAATCTGTAAATATTTGAGTGATCGATATTTACCGCACCGCAACTACCACAGCAGTTGGAACTAAGATGACGCGCACCCCAAACCAAACAATCACCTCACAATAGAATATTCATACAAGGTGTCGTCAGTGGGACTTCGGGCGGCACCTGGTTTCTGAATCACGCCAAACTACAGGCACAAACGTCACGAACCCCATCGAGTACGATACAGCCGACGCCTCGAATGGTTGCCGTTACGTTTCTGTGAACCTTGGCTACCGCACCGTTTTAACCATTGTCGGCATAATGGTACGTTCGTAGTTACTGTTATTGTTGAGCACACCTTTTTAAAGGTGAGATGGCACACTCTAAGCTCTATGGAAAAAAAAAAAACAAAATTACGTTATCTACAGATGCCCGCTAAATTGAACCGTTTATATACAAGCAACACAAATGTCGTGACCGCTTTCCGAAAATTGACCAGACTATGCATACAGAGGAAATCAAAAACAGGAGACCTACAACAACTGCCACGATAATACAACCAGCAAAAAACAATACTGTTTCAGAAAAACTAGAACCTAATACCCGTGTACAGTCGGGCACTATACGATTCCATATTCAACTATGAAAAACATGGCAAGGTGATAGCACTACGACAGCAGGGCCGTTAAACTATTTTAATGGGTCAGGGCAATCGCAACGTTATAGACATTGCTAGTAGGCCGACTGCATTAAAGTGTACAATTGTTGCGGCGCGTTACCTGCAGCACCACACGGGAACTGATGTTGTAAAAGAAATGGTGAACCGGGCTAATATAGGTACTCGGTCGTGTTAAAGGTTATGCCCAACGCTGTTTAGCAGGTATCACGCGGGATAACAGCAAAAAAAGGTCCACTTAGCGCAGTAGGAATGAAATAAGCCTGCTCAAGTCACAGAGTACGGGTTCGTCTTGGTGTAACGTCTTTGTATCAATCCTGTATGAACACATAAATTGTGCCCAAGATTGCTCGTTTCAGTGGGTCGCTGAAATACCATCCTGCTGGAGTGACCAGCGCGTGACATAAAACTGCTTGGATTCTTGTAATGCTAATTGGGATATGCGGACTGTTTTTACGCTTTGCGTAGCTGCTGTTTTTTGAGTAACATTTTTCAGCCCACTCATGACCATTTTTGACACTGATTTGCGGTGATGATTTTAGCCGATCACCTCTATGGTCTCCTACCAACCATCGTGAACATACATAATGTCTGACTTAACGAGGTAAAATCCCGTCAAATCATTCAAGAAGGTTCTAAGTGGCTAAAAATATAACTAGAAAAGACACATGGAGTTATCTTCGGGGTACTCCTTGCGACTATAATTAACCCAGTAGTTTATAGAATTGCGTTTTATTTATTACTGTTATGATTATGATTAACTGCTAAAACCCCTTGGACGGGCAGTAATAGCTGCACTTAACAAAATTCGGCTGGAAACGTTGATACACAATTTGCTCCATGACAAAGTAGCTGTTGAAGAGAATTAGGCCCCTCGTTTTGACCTGGTACAATGGTAAACGTTGAATCCTAGAAAATCTCGTTCGACGCCGCCGTACGATTTGACAGTCAAATGTTGTCAAGATCTGACTGGAGATCTCCGCGCGTATACTCGATCGATTTTTGTTTATCTGCAACGGGTACACAAAAAAACAGTCACGGACATGCACATTATTGTATGATTTAGCGTGTTGTCTGGAGAGCCTTCAACGCCGGCATCGGCCGAGTTCATCACGTGGCCGATATCAGCAACAACCAGCTTCTTCGTTGACTTTTAAAGAAACGCTCAGAAAAACTAGCCTTCACGAAAACAACGTTGGCATATGACGAGATGGATTTCTTTACGCAACATGATAGGGGAAAATAATTTTGCTTCAACCTTTATATAATAATAAAATAAGCCGTATGTTCAGAGGTAAGATATATGGCTGAAGTAAGATATATGGTCATTGTTCTCTTGCGTCGGGTCAACGCTACTTCCACTGGCAGATACGATTTATATTAGATATTATTACTCATCAATGTGTAAGGTGTTGCTATTGCTAATGTCAAATATCCTGCCTGTATCATAGTAGTCGTAAACCTTCGCGGTGGCCGGCTTTAGATTCTCCACGTCGAAGACACGCTCGAGCTGAATGATCGAGCAACTCGGTGTTGACGTAAACTGAAAAATCGTCATATAATTATTATGACTCCGCGATTATTGAGATTATCGATAGAACTAAATAATACGCCATTTGAGTACATCGTATATATAGGAGCGGTTAGCTTGTTAATGAAACACTCTAAAGTTTATACTTTTCCTTGTGGCAGCATTTAACTAAAGACGTTGCCCCTATCAACTGACGCTGGTGCAGAAAAAAGGAGTCAGCCCAAAAAAATCACGCGCTTCGTTGTTGTGGTTCACGGTAAATAGTAATAATGAAGAATACAAATAGTTGGATATTTTTGAGTCACTCGACGAGCGCCTGATGGAAATAGAACAAAGTTAGATTTGAGGTGTCATAAAACCGGAACTTTCCAGGCAGGGGAATAAATAATAAGAGTAGACAATTCTGATATGGTATTATAAGTTGTAGAATGTGGCATTTGTATCCAGATTGCCCACAGGCGAATCGAAAGGACAGTAGGATCGTTTAAAATGTGATAATATTCTAGATTTTAGAGATAAATAATAATTGAAAATTAGTGCTGCCGTCTCAGTGGGCACAATACATTGAGAAATTATGTGTTATATGAAGATTGACGTGCTCAGTAGTTCATCTAAAGGTAGAACGTACCTCCTGAAAGTAGATAATGACGTGCCCATTCTCGATATCAAACAGTCGAGCTTTGCCGGAATTGATTAGGGCCTGCAAAGACGATTTGTCGGCGTTGTATCCACTTAGAAGTTCTAGCTGTACGATTGCCATCGAGGAAGGTTGCCCGCCAACGCCTTCATACCTAAAGAGACCGTGTAAAACATTATTCATCGTGTGTTTGTTTTAGACTGAACTGATCTTCAGCTAAATAAAGCCCACCCGGCAAGCAAGAATTAATAATATATAATTATGATGATATTTGTACCAATTTGTAGATTAGATTAGAGAACGAAGAAAAATATCTTTGTCCTAACCATTCAGAATGTCCAAGTGTAGGTGGAAAGTCGTTCTAGAAACTTACGAGATGCATAGCTCAAGACTGGTATGCTCGACCGTTGATCCGGGGGCGACGGTAATATTGAAGTCAAATCCAGCTTCACTGGGTATTTTTGGTAGGTTGTACCGAATTTGAGACTAAAATAATGCTTTTGTTATTTATTATAGCCGAAACTAGTACATGGGTATATAAAGCGCGTTCGATTTAGCCCGCCAAACCGCCCCCAAGTTCGACAATCTACAGAACAACAGACATACATTATATATACTGTTCTGCCATGTATTCGTACATACATATATATATATGTATCGCTTACCGTGACAACTACACATCCTAAGCCAGTTCCTTCGACAGCAAGATCATTTGGAACCGTCTTGATAAGCCTGGTATCCCAGACAATGGCATTGTCTTTAGTGATCTTATATTTCTCATCAAAGTCGACGCCTTTGGCGATAAGATCGAAATGTATGCCCGCCTGCTTTCCGTACGTGAGAGCAGCGAACTTCGACATCGCTTTGAGACCTACGCATTACGAAAATAACAATTGCAACGTTTAAATCGAAATTACGTGTTTGCAACATGTACTGCACATCGTGTTAATATTAAGTTATCAAATAACAAGCCACTTTCTGACTGGGCTTACCGATAACGGTGTCTTGAGAGGACGTGAAGCCTCCATTCCGATTTTGCTTTTTCATGAGCCACCTCACAATAGGTTGTACTTCTTGGAGAGCAGCATCAGGCGAGTCTTTGTGGAGCTCTAACTGCGCCAGCACCGAATATGCGGCTGTTTCCACGGCGTTTGATGAGCACGTGTCATCCCTAGCGTAAAACTTCTGGTTCGCTGTAGACGTTACAATGACTCGTGATACATACCGTTAAGGTTATAGATACTGGCGTACTACTTACTGTTAGCTCTTATGCGCAAAATAGGCTCTCATTTTAAAGCTGCTATACGGATCCCTTGTTGACATCACCAAATGCTGGTGATTGCCACTTACAAACCTAGGTCACGGTGGTTCAATCTGACACTAATAGGAATATCGCACACAGTTGCATACGAATTGACCATAAGTTGAAAAGGTTTCATTTGTCACCTATTTTATAAAAAAAATAAATAAAATGGTATATATTTTCCGAAAAGCGCACGTCTGCTGTTATGGTCAGAATAATTTGTTCCATGAGATGTAATACACCCGTGCATAAGAAGTTGGAAAACTATTTAATTTAAAAACAAATGATAATAGACAAACTGTGGCTCTTACGAAACTTCGTGTTTTCGAAGGCCTTTAGGTCGCTGAGGTATTTCGTTGCCAGTTCGTTGTCCTCGTAGAGAGCTGCGGCGTACGCACTGAGAGCCAAGGCGTACGCATCCATGTTCTTCTGAGCTTGGATACAAAGGAGGCCTTTCATGATTCGCCGTTTGTCGGTAATTGCATCTCGGAGGACCGCCATCACGTAGGCTGTGTAGGAGCCACGAGTGTCGTCGGAAGACTCTGACCGCTGCGTACCCGGGTGCATAATAGTTTTTGCTGAATACGATTTTGTTAGGTGCCGCTTTTCTGCCAATCAATGCGCCAGGCACTGCTACAATAAGCTGGCGCTGAAAATCTACTTTTTGACTTAAATTCTCAGGCTAAATGTGACAACAGTAGTTTAGCTAAAGGACACTATATCACTAACGTAATTAAATGGCTTATAGAACAACTAGGCATATTCACTACAACTCATTGATAGATACAAGAACGAATAATAAAGTATGCAACGAACACATGTATAGTATAAGAAATACGTATCCATCGACGAAATTTTCCGTCTTACCCTGAGAGCCCAGCTGTAAATGCTGCCGATTCGGTTAAAACAGCCCGTGGTTGTATTCTGGGTATCGATGAGATATTTCAAAGTTGTTTCCTGACCGGCATCATCGATGAAGATATACTGCTTGGCATCCCGTAGTCCGCCGTATACCATGGCAGTAAGGAATGTCGAGGCCTGTCCCCAGTGTCCACCCCATACTGAATAGGATCCATCGCGGCCGCGGTACTTCAATTGGTTCTGATAGCCCGTTTTCAGGTTGTGAAGAATCTTGTTTTCTAGCTTAGGTTCAAGCTGTTTACTAGCTCGAAGATAATCGTTGACTGCGAGATTGGACATGAGCTTTGCCATATTTTGTTCTCCGCAACCGGTCGGCAGAATAATGAGATGGTCAAGATTCGAGGCCGCTTGACCCATCATGTCACCGCTGACCGAAAACAGCGAGCGTGCGGAACCCTTGACAGCATTATCGGGCACTTCAAGCTTGAATGTCGTCTCTACGCTTTTTTCTTTCTCTGGACAGAGCATACGGCTTTCCGAAACCTCCTGCATAAAACCTTTCAGAATATAAACATTTAACCCTCATTTACACGAGAGTGGTACATTATGCGTGCATAGCAGTACTGCTAAGGCCTTTCTGCAAGCCCCAAATCATTATCATAATATGTCTAAATTCCTCTTTTCGATTACAGACGCCAGAAGATAACGTGACTATTACAGTAACTTAGCTAGATTTTTCATACACACATTTTTGAACATTTGACTGTAACTATAAGTTGTATAAGTTGTAGCTATGGCAGATTTCTTCTGTTAAGTTCACGCAAGAGTTTACGCAAGAGTATACAAAGGACAGTCAACTTTCGAGTCTCAAGCTTTAAAATACATAATTACCTAGGAGAAGGATGTTGTCATTTTATATGTCTGCGTAGTACTACAATACAAACGTTTCATGATAGTAGCCATATTAGCGTAATTTCAATATTTTTAAATCCGTACCTTCGGGGATGATCTTTAAGGGGCGGGTGATTTTGTCTCTTGAAGCTACGGATAGAGCCTGTTTTCCTTCACACACGGACATATTCTCCGAATTAATCGTTGTCACTGTTACGTTGAGATCACCAATTAGGGCCTGATCGGTTACCTTTACACGTAGTTCGTAATGAAATGGAGAGGAATCCGGGCATATGCAGGCTTCTTTACTTAACGAGGTTTTGTCATCCACTTCGAGGCCAGGAAGTGGGTCAATGTCGATTGATACCTATTGAACGTGACGAGAGCCAACATTTAACTACCTTTGAAATGCACAGCAAATTTACAAGCTGAATCTCAAATAAAATCAGCGTCTTCTATTGCTACTTTGTATCTCACTAGTGTCAATTGTGACGCCGTCAAGTAACGGCACTAAACATGGTTATGCTAAGAGGAATCTCTAACATTTAAAATAAAAGCCAATTTTCTGGTTTTGTGCTTAATTCGTAAACGATACACACGCCCATCCCCTATCTTCGAATACAACACCTCTACCCAATAGCATTTCAAGCCCTCTTTATATGCTTTGATAAACTGGACTTAGGTTTACCGACTTCTGTCATAAAAAGTGCTCATTTTATGACGGGTTTCGAGCAAACGTTCTTTTAGGACAGCTATCTCTTGGTAGCCTTGCTTCGAACGGTAGACGCTTTCAATAAAAGATCAAATATGTTTACACCCTTTAAAACTACACCAACTTATGATACCGGCAGATAAGCAAACGTTATCATTGTATAATCAGTGGAGATTTGTAAATAACTTTAGGAAAAGGTAGTTTGAATCTTTTGTAATGTTCCACACACAACCTGGTTAGGTGTATTCCAATTTAATGCAGTTAGGACAGAGCTTTTTCGAGGTGTTAAAATGATTTATATTACAAAAGTAGAAGGCGCCATGCTGCGCGTGCGGATCCCATTGAGTACGTTAAGACGGTGACCATAACATGCTGCCATATTAGGTCAAATCTCAGCGTTATTGCCAGAGATTAATTGCCTAGAATATAGGGATCAGCATAAATAAAAGACTGAGCAAAAATGGGGAGTTAATATAGCTCGTAGCGTTCCATAGATCTGTTGTGCTCTAGATAAGATTAGATATGACCCGGTTAGACCAGTCAGAGAGCGCAAATCTTTGAAGCTACACCTAAACAGGGTGACTCGAAAAATTTGTTTACGAAAACGCTAGAAGTACCAAAGAGAACATTTTAGCAGAACAATGGTGATAGATATTTATGATAGCCCATTCCATATCTAACTCAACTAGAAATATCTTTTATATCTCCAACATGGCTATGCATGAAATATCCAGAACGTGTTCAGCGTACTTTAATTAGTCAAAACTTTCTATTGACGAAATAAATGACAATTACGAACCGGCATACAGTGCGGTAAATAGTTAAAGGTACTGATTATAATGGGGAGCTTCTCTCCACGTTTGACAGAATAAGGTAGCTTGACTTCGGTGAAGAACGCCTGATACGTTTTGACCTCCTTGGTTTCTGCAACTCCAAGTCCGTCGGCAAGATGAATGCACATAGCGTCGGCGTTCCATGTAGTCACCTGGTGTGGAGCAGTCAGATTCTTTGCCAACTTTCCTGTGTTACTGAAATTAATGAAAAAGGTAAATCTCATTGTTAGTGAAAATGGAGACGATTTGTAAAATATACTAGTTTGTAATTTGCCGATCTAATATGAACTAGGGAAGTATTTTGTTTGGCATAATTGCGGCTCGTTTCAAGTTTCCCTGATTTTTGCGTGTACGTGTTCATGAATACTTTATGACACCTATCGTGACCTATGCGATCTCGCTATACGTTGGTGTTTTCTCAAACACGCTCGAGACAGGTAAAAGGTGTAAGAAATTCAAAAAGGATCAACCCATCGAGCGCGTTCGTGTGGCCCTCCGTTCAAACTCTCCTCAATCACACTAAAATATCCACAAATTTTTTACATCAGTATTTTAAGGCCATTAGATGCGCAAAAAAAAATGCTGAGTTCTTTCATTGATTTTTTTGAGCCCTACTGTGTGTCCTCCGCGACTGAAGCCACGATGACGAAAACGGTCCACTTCGAAAAATCAGGAAGTTTTTTTTGCGTATGATATTTCAGAGGCAGATATTTTTTGCCAATAGCTGATGGTTTTTAGTCATAAAGCAAACATTTTTAGGTCCGCCAAATGTGGTCGTGATCTTGTGCTCGATGCACCATTAACTGCCGCTGTTTAGTGGCTGGCGCATCAGTTTAGCTTTAAAAGACGGCTAGCAACCTGAGCAAAAGGTATCTCAAATTTTTCCAGGTTTATTATTCAGGATATGAATCAGGTTTTGGTCCACCTAGTATTTTTGTTTTCTTTCTTTCACTCTGTGGTGATCGCCCACATCGCTCCCCTGAAAAAAGTATTTAATAGATGTCTAGTTCATTTTTAGCCATTTTGGTGATCCGGGAATCGCCCACGTTCCCGAATGGCTGAAACGACTCGTTTTATCGAATCGTTGATAACGGAGGTATTTATAAATGTTATGTTACGAAGTTTAGTACTTCAGCTTTTATCTATGCTAATTTCAGCTGGTCTAATGGAGACTTTTGATGGACTCGTATTAACGCGTTGTTGTGGGTCGTTCCAACATACCCACACTCGACGTCCCGAACATGCCTATCATTATGCTAATACCTCTTAAAAATGGCCTTCTGCAACGATGAGATTAGTGCATTAGAATGTGTTGCACAATATAACCATTCTGAAAATTTCCTAAGCTTTCAGCTAGATAGCTGGAAATGTCTGACTTACTCTATTGCGTTCAATTGGAAAAGCCACAATTCCGGGAAGTAATTACGGATGTCGACGACACTCTGGCTCGCTGTGGCAGAATCCACTCCGAAGTCATTGCCGATCCTCGAGGCGCTCGGTGTCGCTATAGTGAATGAGATGTCAGCAATATCATCGAGGGTCAAAGGTGTACTCAGCGCGGCTTGAGGTACCGCTGCGGAACAAACGGGCGAAGGAGACATGCGGCAACAGCAGCGCTGGAGCTCTGCCTTTTTAAGGCCACAACGGATAATCTTCGTTCCCACATATATCAGTTGATCGTCTTGTAGTTTAACTAATCAGCTAGCCTCAAAAAACCTAAGCTTTGACGATATAGGTGTTCATAGAAACACGTAAGGAGACTGACCCTTATCTGAAAGTATTGATCTGCAGGATGAACTAAATTTAATCGTGATACTGCCAACGGACATTTTCATAGAAGACTTCATGGTTTTTTTTGTTTTTTTCTATTTAATATTAAAAAGATGTAGGTTCTTATATACGTGTAGAGGTGTTGCCTAGTAGACGATTGATTATCCGTTGTGCCGAGCGATATATAAAATGATCAGGATGATTAGGAAAAGGCGTGTGCACGTATTTATTCAGGCTCGTGCGATGTCAAGGGGTTAGTTTCGTTCGCTTAGCTGACTGCCTCAGTTACATGCAATTACTACGCTAAAAGCCTTACTAGTTCCTGTTACTGCTCTTTATCAACTCGTAGCATACTGTTACCGATAAGCGTCAAGCACGACATACATGGCGTTAACCGGAATGACAATAATGCACATATTTCTCAATGTATGGAAGAACTGAGCTTCATTTGCTAAGCGAAAAGATCCCACATAGCAATTGAAAAATTGTGTCTTCTTTCTATGACAGTTAATACGACTGGCACGATGGTATGTTAACCAACAAATACAAAGAAGAGCGTTAATTCAAAGTGAACTAAAAATTGCTTTTCGCTCCGGCGGCCCCTGTTTTACAAAGTAAATAGCGTGACAATAGTGGCCAGTTTTCCTTGATGCCCCTAACGTCAAATGTAAACTCCCAAGTGTAATCAATAGGCTCATAGCTCGTCTCATTGTAGGTTTAATATGGAAAGGAACCAAGAATAACAGTGTATGTAATATAGGGCACTCACCAAAGGCCCCCTGATCCAGAGAGACGGGGCCCGCGGCTATTTTTAATGCTACCGCTACCGGTTGGTAGGAGCAAAGGGAGCAGGGAGGAGAAGAAGGATGTTGTGGAAGGGGACAGACACGTGACACATGTGTGGTACAATACGATCATAATAAGACGATAAATATTACCAATCATCATCAATACACAGAATAAAAACAAAGCAAAAATGAGTAACTCAACAAAAGGTAAGACGCTGCCTAATGGTACGACAGACGTCTGTCAACCGCGACAGATTTCAGTCGATAGCTTCTCATTTGACCTGAGAGATTATATACAATGCAATATTATTGAACTAATATACGTTGCAAAAGAGCTTCAGGCCCATTGAGCATAGCGTATTATTAGAGTGTTCTTTGCATGCGGTTTATTACCAACCTGCTCGTTGTATAACCACATTAAGACGTAAAAGGCTTTTGCACTACTTTTCTGAATAAAATAGCTAATTATGTTTGCCTTACTGAAACGTAAACAAAAACATACATATGCAGAACAGATAGATACGACTTGTTCCGAAAGCGGAAGGTGCCATTTATTGAAGACTTATCTTCTAAGTAGAAAGAACTAAGCTTTAGATGTGCAATAGAAAACTCAGCCTTTATCTGTCTTGGGATTTTAGTTATTTCGCAGGCTAAAATATCTGTACCACAACGGGGTCCGCGTAACGTTTGGAGGATGGTAAAAGACTAGTCGTACTAGCTGGTTCAAAAATTGACGAGGAAGACTTATTTGGGTTGCCGTAAAGTATTTCAATCCATTGCTATATCGTACAAATGCTAAGTCACACTAACAGTAATTTGCTTAATATTTATATGCTATTTCCGTGCAAATTCTTATTTTTGCAGTGCAGGACGACGTTTTAGAGCATTAGGATAGTAATATGCCGTTGGTGCTTTCTGCAATGTTTTTTAGTTGTGGCGAATGTTGCAATTTCGATTTTATGCCCCATCTTTCGAAACTTTGCATAGATCTGTTTATTTCAAGGTGTCTTGCTAAAGCAGCCAGATGTACCCCGACTATTCTGAATTCACTTACTGCGCACATAACTATAGTACACCCTTTGTGGAGACAATCGTCTGGTCTTCGTGATTCTCGTATCCGTTGCGGAAGTGTTGCCAAAGTACATTTGTTGTCCTCGACGCGAGAATCTTTTGTCAAGATGTCGAGCCACTAGAAGAATTATTCTCAAGGATATATTTTAAGATTTAACTGACGTATAATAGGGAGCTAGCGAAGACCCTCATCATATGTATATGATAATGCGAACACACAAAGATGTGGATCGGAGAAGTGGATAGAAGCTGTGAAAACTATGCGACTAAAAGTTCCACACAAGAATACAGCCATGCATAGTAATGGCTTGAACCTATACATTTTCGCTGCCTTCTTTTTTTTTTTAAATCTGAGCAACTTTTACTTACGAAATTCCCCAATAACTGCTTCAGTAATACAGAAAATCGATAATGTCACAAGGTTTAAACCAGATCTCACAGTTAAAGGGCAACTTTGTGGGGCCAGTTCTGTTTCAATGTAGACCCTAATAAAACCATTACAAAGAATAATCGAAAGGAATCATAATCTAATTGGATAAATTAGTAGTTGTTAATAGAGGAGGTAGCGTTGAAGCCCGAAGCGGCAAAACGTCCGATCGATTTTTGCAAAGCTAGCAAATTTGAGATTATCGGATATTGCTTCGTACCAGCGCTATATCCGAAGGCGTGAGCTGAATTCAGTGATTTAGCTGTTTCCATAAGGGCCATTGCTGTAATATTGGTAACAAATTCATATTCCCGTTTCATAATATATATATTGCTACATATATTTCTACAAAGAAGCTTTAAGAGTTACAGGTCTGATGTACCTAGCTTTTTGTCACCAACAATATAAGGCTCACCTTTTTTTTGCAAACGTCACAAATTCTAGCTTGTCATTATAAATTTTTTCTGTTCTATTTAGGTGTGAAGTTGTCATCAAAATGAACTTAATAAGATTTCAAAAACATACACGTATTTGCGACAACACAACAAACAATCCCAAAACAGCCATCTTCATACAGTCATACATAAGATCACTGAGGACAGAAAATGTTCAAGGACGTGCAATATGTAGCAGCTTCAATTGCTCTGCTTTGTAAATCTCTGAATTATGACACGTATCGACTAGAGTATATCTCACGGATCTTTAAAATGTCACAGTGGATAGATATAAAGTTGATGACTTGTATGGGTAATTGCTATTTAGGCCCTATCCACTTTACTATTGGACAATCATCCACGATGACGTGAAATCTCCCAAACGAGAAACAAAATGCCTAAATTAGATAAACTCGTTTACTGTTTTGTTTGTGTTTCGAACACATTTTGGTACACCTACGCGGTAGAATTCATATTCTTTGCGTCTAATTGGTAGCTGAATCCTGATCTAATATAACGTCAAAATACTCGCGGAGCGTTAGCTGACAGCCAGCTGATAATCCATTGCAGTACCAACACGATCAACTTGAAAATTCAAGAGCATATCAAGGGAGAATGAAGAATTTGGCCCGTATGAGTGCCGGACTTCAAAACAAATCGATGCAATAAGGACAAGACGCAGATGCGGCCATGGACATTTTAGGCTATACACTTCGTTTGCATATTCGCAGAAACCGTTAGTGGCTGTTGTAGAACTGGCGAATTCTGTCGCTGATATAGAAAAAAAACGTAGATCACTAACCTGGCGCTATAACTGCCAATAGGGTACATGCTCGTCCGCTCTCCGAAAAAAAAAAAAAAACGAGGAGAAGCATCTCCATAGACGTCATAGATTTGCTACTTAATTCTTAGACTCCTGAAAGTGGGGGTTGTCAAGGCACGATTAATTAAATGACAAAAATGAGTCAAGAATAGAGCTTATAGTCGGCATTAAAGCTACAATTTGCCGCGTGTTGAGAAAAAAAATCCTAAAACGATTCATTAAGACACGTACCAGAGGTGTTCATAGTTAGCATATGGTGTGCGCGTGGTCGATCCCTATTTAGCACTAGGAGCGAAGTACCGGTACATAGCCTACCGGTACATCATAATACTGTTACCGCTATGTACCCTACGCAACAGTGGAAGCTCACAGCGAGTGATTTGCTTTTTGAAATCGTCGAACACGAAATGCAGTGTATTGCAGTAAAAAGCAGGTCTAAAAAGTTGGTTATTTTTGAGCTATTTTAAAGCAGTGCACAGGCACCACTGGCACCTGGTTATATCCTTATTCTAGGTCTTATTTTTGTTAGATACATAGCCATATTAGTTGAAGTTTAAACAAACGCGACAGCATTTAATCACATACCCCCATGTACTCAACAACGTTGGATATTCATTGGTTCTCGCTTTCAAATTTATTCACACAGGGTCTAGTTAGGTTCTTGCCACAATCTGGAATACAAATGAATGTGTAGTGGTCGGAAAATAGATTATTTGATATTTTTTTTGTCCTTTGCGAGCGTCAGGAAAAGCACGTTCTGTGCTTTCGGTAGATTCGACACTAAGCAACAAGTAAGTACCAAGGTCAATATTAAGGCAAGTACGTAGTTATTTACAATAGAGCTCTAAAGTGTCTGACGACATCGAAGTCTTATTTAATTCATTGAGAGGGTTATATAAGCAGACCAAGTTATGCCGGCTGAGTTAATAATCCGCGGCAAGCGATACTGACTACTATTCCCTAGTGCAGCACTCACACAAAGAAAATGATCGTGGACGAACTCCTGCGATATCTAACTCCTGTGATTGGTATAGACTTGGCATAGCACCACCTCTGCCAGAGGGGTATCCTGCAATAATGTAGGCACCTTTTCAGATGAACACCTGTGATTAGGCAACTACGTAAATTGTCATTCTATGATACATTAATTATTTCACATTACTTTCGGAATAAGTAGTTCGGGTTAACTGTTATAAAGCTATCTGCGCGTCTCGGCCCGTTTTTACCGGTTTTCGGCTAAACGTTTCCCGCTGAGATACGGGCAGGCAACAATGTGAGATCGGTCGGGATTCGATCTGTTCGGAGAGCAGTCAGGTTGTCTCCCGCGTAAGTAACTGTGCAACTTAGTAATTGTCAGGTGGATTCGTGGCAGACGTACGTAACAAAGTCCGCTGGCATCTCGATGCTACTGTTCTTGCAATGTTCTGAGCAGGTATTTCCTGCTATATTTGCCATATTTTCTGCTGTAGTTTACTATGTGGCGCTGCATGTAACGGTATTGACAGACTCAATCACCGACCAACAGCCCGCTTGTGTAACAAAGTATTATTACCTAAACTTTAATTATAGAGGTTCCCTTAACATCTATGTATCACAAGAGTACAAGCATATATTCCGACGAGGTCAATAAAGATAAGGTAATATGATTTTAATAATAAGAAATAACATTCTACTTGTATTATTCGTCTTAAGAGTACTTCATCATGCACATACTTCTCTGTGAAGAAATTCTAGAGATGCAAACTAATCAATGTGCATATGAAGTCCAACATTGTATAGAAATACGCACACATTCATAGGAATGGAAATGCATTGAGTAGGTTTTTACATATTTTTTTTTTAAATTTTATGGCCTTTATAATGTTTCCGATATATAGCTTGCCGTAAAATCTCAAAGCTATTAACTAACCGAGTCATTCAGAGAGACACATCGATAACTTGACCTTCAAAGACCCGGGCACATTGTTGGGTTAGAAAGGAATAGTATTTACGTAGGTATTTACATAGGCGGTGTTAATGAGGGTTCCCGTAGCTTTGTATAACCAGTGGCTAGCCAAACATAGACGAGTACAATCATCCTGTGAGAACAATGATCCCATAATCCCAGATGACCCGTAGCAAGCTTTGTAGCACTGATGGATGACAAGAAAAGACCTTTCGTCCCGCCCGTTGACTTCAGAGTGAAATTCTTATCATGACTAAATATCAGCTAACGCTCAAATTGTAAGTTGGACACACTTGAGGTAACTTTGTATGATTTTTTTTTGTATAAAAATAGCGTCGCTGAACGATAGTCTATTGTCTATTTTAGCGCAATACTAATACGTCTTCGTCACGTCTCTTACGGGCATACTTAATTGCTGCTTGTGCCAACTCGGGTCACAGAGACGGTATCAATTGCAATAAAGAGCTGAATCGATACAATGTCGTTGGCGACAGTGGAACCGTGGTAGATATACAGTTTGAAGTTCAACTCACCAAGTGGAAGAGCAGGACGGAGTGGGGGCTGTCGAGATAATCCCAGACGGGATGAGAAAGTCCGAGGTCCGCTGGCCGCACCACCAGCAGATTGAGCTATCGTTAGAGCCCTTGTTAGCTGATTAACTTCAAAATACAATCCACCCCATTTTCATTCATTTGAAGCTTAATTTTTTACAATCTAATTGATTGTATCATTTTGTTTCATCGGTTTGGCTGCATTAGCCCGGTAACCGCACTACTTTATTTACGGGTACGAACAAGGGTTTCTACTGTCTGGTCTAATGAATTGATCGTCACTTCTGCTATAAAACCTAACAAGGAAAGAAATAAAATTAGACCAATTTTTGTCCGATAATATTGATCATGATGATAATTTGTATTGCTGGGAACGATTACGAAGGCGAACTATACGAGCTCGCCTACTAGACACTGCATACGTCGGCTAAAAAAATGTCTAACATTTGCGAAAAATTTAAGAGAGGATTCAATTGCATTAGACGAAATCCCGTGGAAGTAAGATCAGTGGTTTTCCATTTAATTCTCGAATCACGAGGTAAAAGCCTACTTTTTCCTTAGACTATTCGTGCGGCCTCGAACAGGCAAAACTCGAACAAGCTCGAATGTACGCGCGCATATGCTGAGGCCATTTTCCCAAAATTAAACTGCGAAATTAGCCCATCGAGTATAAGACGAAACCGATGGATTTAACAGCATGCTGGGAATGTTTAAGATCACTGTATAATATTTACAAATAAAAATATTCATTAATATTAATAATATATTACTATTCGGGTTCCTAAGTGCTTTGGGAACCAAAGTGCGAGGAACGTCAAACAGTATGAGCTGCATGATGGGGTCTCATAAACGTCGCTATGGCGACAATAGAATACTGATTATATGATAACTTACCTACATCGCATTGGCACAACGAATGGTTCTAAATGGAGATTGTGCACCACAGAAACTCAGTAAATATTATCAAAACAGACGTGATAGGCAAGCTTCCGCTTGATGCGATCTGACAACGCGGAGGGTAGCGGGACGACCTTAATTCTGCCAGGTGATCGACGCATAAATCATTTCAACTAGTGCGCTAGGTATGAGGCGCTATCTGGGCCCGTCACATCTGAGACACGTTTATTTCTTGTTAGTGGAACTATTTTCCTCCCATTCCGCTAAACCCCAGTGTAGTTCCCCACAACTAGATTTTGCAATGCTGAAATGGTCACACCGTCGAAAGAAACCTAGCATACACACCACCTCGAAAGCATACACACCACGAAACGTATTTCCCAGCAAAGCTATGAAGTTAGAGTATCAGAATATATATGTTAGTTAGCCAGAAGAAACCGCCCGGAAATTCTGAAGGGACAAACGCTCATGAACGCACTCGTAGTAGGAAAAAAGGACTCGTAGGACGAGACCACTACATACATATGATATATAATATTCCTCAGGAACTAGTATGTACCAGTGGGTGCAGCAGGGGGCGCCAGGGTCGGAGCTAGAAATGCAGCGGCTTGACGGCAGAACGCGTCACCTCCGAGAGGCGACGAAGGTTTCAAAGACGCTACAGCTGCAGGAAAAAAGCCATTTCGCTTCATAACAGCTGATGGCCACGTAGTAAAGTAATTTCAGTGTACCCGTGGTATTTAAGATCAACAGCACAGATTAGTCATATTACAACAACCACAAATCCTCCATTTATAGCAGTCGGTAGCACCTAAAAATTATGTTTCAAGTTTCTGTGAGCTTGAACCGTACAAAGTGTAGGCTTGTCGACCGCGTTTGCTAAACAATATACGTGATCTTCTAGCTGCTGATCACTGCACAAACATAACAAAGAGTAACTGAATCCTTGTGCAATGCTGTATGCTTTGAAAAACATTGCTACATGTTGAGATATTGCACTCATGGAAATCATCGTATTTAAGGTAGAAGTTAGAATCCGCTATTATATAGACAACTATTTTTTGTCAGTACTCGATGTTTTAGGTACAAGCGAAACTCTTTATCTAAAAAGTAGCGAATATTTTAAAATCGTATAAATAATGGTACTATCCTCCCCAATCTGCTCCTTCAAAGAGGGCATCTGAAATTAACTCATTTTCATAATGATAGGCCATAAGATCAACGTCCAATAAATTCGGGTAAATGTATCAGTATTTATACATTATTTACCGGTTACCCGCTGAAACACATTTTGATGGAAAAATATGCGACTTTGTGAAAACCTTGGTCGTGATCTATGAAAGATTTGAAAAACTTTTTTTTTTTTTTGTTTTTTGTGCGCCACCATACGACTGGCTCAAAAACTGTTGGCTTACGGGTCCCATGTAAAGCACCAGGATATGGCTATTGTACGTTTATTATTAGCCACAACATAGTACTCTAAACCATTAGGTATATGTTCTAAGGTCATACAACGAATTTGCCAAGCGAAGGCCGTAAAAGTGTACTAGAAAAAAAAATAGGCCAGTCTCTTAACTTAGTAGAATGAGCCAATCAGAACGGGTCAAGTTGTTCTCTTTTTTTGTAGACTAGACTTTGGTCACCTGTAGCTTCAATATACCGAATATAATAAATTATTTAAACATTAAAAATAGCTGCGTACACAGATGCAGAATTGAATTATTTTATCTGAAAGACGATTACGATGCCCTCCCAATGTCATGCTTTTGCGGAATGTGAAAGGCCCAAACAAAAGATTTGGCAATGACGGGCCATGCAGGGGTGCGAATCAGAGAGAAAGTACCAGTTCTGCGTCGCTTCGAGTTCCAGCAGACCTATAAAGCGGCTAGATTGAAGATGCATAGGTCGACGAGTCCTTGATAATGCGTTTCTGGTGCTGTTGGGCCCTTTTTGACATAGCGGCCTTATCATAAGACAGCGTTCCAACTTAAGAAGAAGCAACAGATTAAAGCGTTTCTAGAACACTGCGCACATCATAGAGAAGTCGTGCACATTTTATCCGCTTATCATACCTAACCACTAAAAGTATGCGATGAGGTAACTATACGTAGATATTAAGTTGAAATCAGAACGACTATTGCAAACGACTGCGCAGTCCGTACAACTACAAGAGGAAAAAGAACGAGGTGTAAAGAATAAATCGTCATTGACATCGCACCCCACCCATGAAGTCAAGGAAATTTTTTCTCGACGATTATGCGACGACCTGCGTTTTCACGACCTGGCCGACCCTTGGCCTCGAAAGCCTTATAACTTTCCGCCTCTTTGGATTTTGCTACCAGGCAAACCATGAGGTGCCCGTGCTCGGTCTCATAGTCATGCAGCATTCGTATACCCTTTCGGTAACAGTTTACATGTATATACGCACGCTTCTCCGGCGTGCTCATAATAGTATAGTTTGATATGACATAAACCGTCGAACTACCGTTGAAGATAGATATGTTGTCTCACTTCGAATGGGGAATTAAGGCTGTCACATTGTCTTTCGGCTGGCGACAATAGACGTGGTTTAAATAATCTATGCAAGATATCTATATAAGTTCTGAAAAAACGCAACATCTCTCGTGAATGATGTCGGCATTACCCTACGCCGGTGATACGTAGAGGCTCTCTCTGTGGAATACAATAGCTATGAACCTGAAAAATGACTGCTGCATAACTACACATCGAACAACAACAACAACAACAACAAAGTATTCTAAGTTCATAGAATTGGTTAAGTTCCGAGACGGATTAGATTCGTTCAAGTTCGACAAACTTTTCCATGTGGTCCACCTGGCGCACATACTCCTAGTTCTCTACATTGAATTAGACACTGAAGTTCTTTTCATCGTTCATTTTAAGGAAAATAGTGGGCGCAGTTCAAGTACGTTGAACAGATAACTTATTATAGATAAATGTACATAAAAGATGTCTTCCAATGCACTAACTAATCACACATAACAAGTCTAGAGCTAACTAAGTTATACTACTAGTGCTAAAACACTGTCGTATTATACTTTGCCGTGACTATGAAGGCTGTGGTAGCTAATGATGTGCAACAGGATTGCTTCGGGAGTTTAATTCGTTTCCAAATTATTCTATAGGATATTCGTGGAGCCAAAGCACCAACGTACGAATCTATCCTGCGAAAATATTCCCCTGATATGTAGCTGGAGTACAGCGAAAAAAATAAAAAAAAAAAAACAGGCAACTCGCCACCATATCTCGAAAGTATACTGTGTTCTTTGCAAAGTTTTCTGATTGAGCTGTGAACACCACTGCCCTTAGTCTGGATCTCCAATTGCGAATCCGAACTAAGAGCTTTTCGATACTGTTTGATTATTACATCGAAAAAAATACCGCTACTAGCGACAATTTTCTAATATAACTGATAAGGCTTGCAGGACTACACTATATGACAGAACTTTTTTACATAGATGAGAGGCGAGCTTAAAAGTATGCTCTTTTCTTGACTCAAAAATATCATCAGTCTTGTTTTGGTAACTTCGATTCTATTAATCGAAGTTACCAAAACAAGACTAGCTACAGAGTGCATGACGCCTATATAACATAAGTCGAAACATGTTATCAGACATAATGGTACAACGCAAGAAAATATATTACATGACCCAGCGATCAATGGTTTGTGACCTGATAATTCTAACTGTGAACTTAAGGATATGTTACTTTGTGGAATCTATTCCTAACCAAGTCGAAAAAGAGGAGCTTGCTATTATGTTGATAGGTGTTGTCCTTCAAGTGTGTATAACAGGTTAAATTACAACAGTAATACTATACACAAAACAACTGCGCCAAAAATGCTTCAAGTTGTTATATGAGTAATGGAAAAGCAGCTTAAAATATGGCAGATTATTTTCTAGACTATAATAAGTGTTTTTTTTTTGTCTATTCCACAGAAAATGACAGAATAAATCAACCTGGCTTCAAAAATTCATGTAACGGCTAAACATATCTCAAAGGATTTCTACTTGAACGGATACTATCGTTTAATTTTTTTTGCTTGTTAATAACCAGCTTTGGTTTCTAACCTATGATTGTGATTCTTAAAAATATATTATATCTTGAATGAATCGACCACGGATCTTCTTCAATATACTCGGCGATATTTGTCCGCCAAAACACGAAAAAAAGCAACATTATTTACAGCATACACTTACGTTCTGGTACCGGAGTTCCATCACGAGTTGAACGGCACGGGCGGATACTGAGCTTTATATTGTACTCGATAAGAGTCCAGCCGGGATTCTGGTTAAATTCATTCAAGTGGAAAATTAGGATAAAAACGGAAACGTAGTTCGCGACTATATCGAACTATCTATCTATGTACACTGCTCAACGCTGAGGGCTATTTAAGCATACTCCGAGTGGTCTTGAAATTCACAAAGCTCTCTGCGACGCCTTTCGCCATCGTGGCGCTATGTAAGACATATTGTAATGTCGGACCAGCTGTTGCTACTCATGTCGCTGTTATCGCGCTAGGTAAAGAAAAACAAAAAAAAAAAAAAAACAACTCTCTACGTGAAACAGTTCTTACCAGCATAACACTTTCAACATCGACGTAATCACTTTGTCCACCATTTTGTATGCAGTGCCGATAGTTGTCAGCTTGAGGATACTCCCACTGGCTAATTTCACGGTTCGGAAGAGCGTTGCGGTATCTATCGATACGAACACCGATATCACCCAATCGGACCCATTAGCATGCATATATTGCCTAACGGTAGAGTCTCGCACATCTATCAAAAAATGAACGTCCTAATCAATGAAACTGTTTCATTCACGATGGCGCGAATGATCAGCTGCAATCGAATATGAATAGTTTACGTATTAGAGATGTTTACTTGTAGAATGGATTCGGTTCATTGCCGCTAAGTAGCTTGACGCTACGATCCACAACTTCGTAGCCACACTGAGATTTCGGCGAGGCTGAGAGCATCAGGTTCACAAAGCCTCCTGGCTGAATGACCGTTTCGGAAAAACTGAGTTCAACTTTGTTAGAGGGGCAAACATCCCGGATGACTTTAATACTGTCCGCTATAACTTCAGTGCCATTGTGAATATAGTAGAGAAGGACGGTCAGCTGTGGCAACTGGGATGATTCTGGGTCAACCTAGAAACGAAGCCACGCACAGAGTTCGAATACAATGAAATTTAATTTATTTATTAATGTTTGCTGACAGTAGTCTAAAACCTCGTATATATATATATATATATATATATATATATATATATATATATATACACACAGGTGTAAAACACGATCAATATCAGAGACATTTATTATCGCTTGAAAAATCATCAACAAACAGTGCTTACGTTACTATGAGCCTTGTCGAGTTTATAAAATTACTTCAAGAAATATCTAGATGCTACAAAACGGTGCCAGAAAGTTCTGGAACATCTACATGTATCGTCAGGTTCGTGAAAACCTGGTTTTCCGCTAAGTTCGGTGTGGAACCCATGCATGGTAAAGCGGGCAACGACATATCGTCTCTCTCCACTCGCTGTTTTTAATCGCACCTTAAGCAAGCGAATTCCCGTCACACCGCTGGTCTTCCCCCCCCAAACACACATTTCTGGTCTTCTGGTTTCGACTGATTTCCTCAGCCCTCTTATTTGATCAGTAAGGCTCTCCGGCAAAATGAAGAGTATGTGTAAGTCTAGATTGTCTTCCTAAGCTAGACCAGTTATCTGTGCGAAGGACATGGGTGTGGCCACTCGGTTATTTTAGAATCGCAGCCAAATGGTTGAGCTTATTTATAGAGACAACGACTCAGATCAGTATGAGTGTAGCTTTGTCCCTGGACAAAAGCTTTCTTGAAACTGACAAGTCCCAGATTGCGCGCCGTGTCCAATGCTCGCGTAGCGTCGACCATCAGCATTCTATGGGTCGTTTTTGTAAAGTGTTTTCTTCGGAACCCACGTGCCTTCTTATAACAAATGCTTTTCTTTCGCCATGATGGCCACGCGATTAGATTCCACATTTTTCTGTGGCATTTCTCCAGTCGACCAAAAATGTATTACTATATAAACATTTAGTAAATAATGCTGTTCTGAACGATGGTGCATTTAAGACGTTTATTGCAGACCTTATCTAGATCGGGGAATTTTTCCTCGTATAGAAACTCAAAAACCACGCAGTAGTTTTCATACTGTAAAGGCTGGTTGAAATACATCGCGTCTTATTGAGATTCTTTCTTCCTATACTACAGCGCAAAAGGGCTTTACGCGTAGGATCATATTCCTTGACGTAAACATCTCAGAAAAATAATTTATCAGGATCGAGAACCTAATCGGTCTAGATCGTCAAGTTGCCGGGGTGTTTACCCGCTTGTACGGCTGGTTGAGGTCTGCACATGAGCTATATAGATGATAGCTCAATTATACGCTAAACTGACATGGATAAATCGCGTGATACAAATTTGGTTGCTGTCCTTTGCACAGCATAGCTCGACCTCGTATATTTTACAATACTAGCTTGTTTATTCATGCTGGTAATTTCATTATTTATTTTTATTATTATTTAAATATCGCCCCAACGTGTATTTATGTATGTACCTAGATTGTATTAAAACGTACCTCGAAATCAATACGTCCAATCTGCTTATCGTTCGTTTTCGCCACATCACTCCAAATCTGGGGGTAGTCCTCAGTTAATAACTCCGTTTCGTTAAGTTTTGCGGTCAGTTCTTGAGGTTTTTGAACGGTTATTGTCTTTGAAACTATGTTTCTCGCCCGTGCCAACACTACGTATTTGAATTGTATATTCTCATCTCCATCCTATAGATGGCAGTAGCGCAGCCAACATGAAAACAGCGAAAAAAAAAAAAAAGAATTAGCTACCTAATTCTGAGCCTCTGCTTCTATTGTCAGATTTGTTAAGAGTCAGCTGTGACAATCAAGCTAAACATACTTAAACATGGACAGGTAGTTGTGGATGGCTCACATATACCCGATAGGTAATGTGCTACATAGGTTCAGAACTTTCTTGATAATTGAACAAGGTAAGAGGTGTTTTTTTAATGTACATATTTTTTTTTCTTATGGATAATTCGAATTTGATTTGACTGGAATTGAATGGAAAACGACAAATGGACAAACCTCGAAGGTATAATATGCCGAAAGGTTTACAGGAGCATCACAAGGCTGGCTTTCAGCAGCAATGGGCTCAAATTGTAAGTAGCGCTCTGAGGTCGAGAAGAACGCTCGATAAAAGGTCGATGCGCGGGGCTGGTTAATGAGAATGCTGTAATCGTTTCCTGGATATTTTTTTGTAGGGTAGTTCAACGCCACAGCCTAAAATAAATACCAGCACTACTATGGTACCTTTTGACTGTTTTTACCAAGGTAAAAATTTTTTAAAATGTACGTGATTTCACCAAAAATCACTTATACTAAAACGGTTTAATTAATTTATATGCATTTGGCTGCTTCCAAGAGATTATTGTGTATCTTATGCAGCCTAGATATAAATGTATGCATATAACGAAATTAAAAGCCATCCCACCTCGATACCAAAGGATACCACTGAAGGCCTGTGAGGCGGTAAAACAAAGTTAATCATCCCTTGAGTGTCACTGGTATAATTCTTGCACATAAGGCGGTTATCGGTACGTTGATGATGGAACTCGTACACTTCGGATTTAGCAGTTAAGCACAATTCAACCGGTTCATTCGGAGCCGGAGTATCGTCAGGATTTGTTACCTTCAGCTAAGAAATTAAGCAAAAGTAAATCGCAAGAGATCATTATCGATGAGTGACAAAATGGACTCCGATCTGAAGTTATAGGCTTAACCTAGAGGGTAATAGTGAAGCTGTTAACGACAAGTGGACGTTACTGAGGCTCTTTTTGTTGTTTACGTACGTCATTTTCTACGACGCGCTTTCATTTTTGAGAAGTAGTGATTAGGTGCACTGTCTAGAGTAGAATCTTGTTCTGTGTACATATAGCTCAGAAAAGATAAAAAGGAGGAGCGTGCATCGAGGTCAAAACAATGATGCCTTAGTGACGTGCGCCCTTCTGTAACGTTACCTGTCCGTAGGTATTCATAAAGGGTCGGAAGTATTTTCCGTTTGTGTTGGGCTGGAAGGTCAGCTTCAACGGCTGGTTGGTGCGTGAAATAGTTGAAGTAGAGTTCCTTTGTTCTTGGGTTTTATCTTCGAACACGTTAGCCAGTACTTGAATTTTGCGGAACTCATATATCGAGTTCGTGAGATTCAGTGTTGACGTATCGATTGTTAGATCGTAACATCCATTAATCTGAAGCAATACCAATAAAGGTTTCGTTTAGTCTAATGGGAATATATAGTTCTATTTTTCTATCTACAGGCAAAATTTACTTATTATTTTTATTACTAACTCTTAATGGCGCAGAATAACGGAGGCCACATAGTGAGTAGATCAATTTTCAGTGACCAACTAACCTTGCCTTGTACAAAGTTTATTGGTACAGGCTGGATTTCCCAGTGGTAACGAGTGAGCGTCGTGTTGACCTTGAGCTTTCCAATAACAGGCTTGCCAAATGTATAGTTGGCACATATTTTGAACGAAACACTGCTCGCGTCCATCAGTACAAATGGCGGTGGTATAATTCGAACTTCGAACTTCGGTAACGTGTACTCGGAAACAACGAATGTACTTGTCACCAATTCCGATTCACTATTATACACAAATTGATCCTCAGGTGGCTCGTTCGTCGCGGAAGCCCTTGTATCAGCCTAGATCACGATAACAACACCAACAGCAGCGTAATCGCGCAAGACAGCTCAAAATGCGATAGCAGCGACACGCCGCCATTGCAGAAGAAGAAGAAATTTACTATTAGAATCGCAGGCCACCGAAGAAGCAATACTGATTAAAACAAATAATATGGTAAGTATCATATTTTACTTCAATCTAGATTGTTAGCAACGGCATAACTCATAATTTCTGTTTATCTATATTTCATTTTCTTAACAAAGAAATTTTTATACGGTAGCAGAAATAGTGCCGATGGAAAAAGGGCCGTGTACCTTTTCAACTATTTCTCCTAGGCAGCGATTCCGTATAATATCAATCGCGTTGACAACACGATATAAACGTTGTCTTACCGATGAAACTGCGCTTTCGGCAACGCTTACGTTCTCCGAAAAAAACGATCATAACCATAATATTCAAACCTTTCAATTTCGTACCTACGTCAGATATTTAGGTTGTTGGGTGGTACTAGTGGTTTTTTTTAAACGTGTATTTTGTTTGGAGAATGTTGGCCTCTCGAACAGTGGAATATGAGCAGAATGTATGATAGTCAATTCAGAACGATAATTTGTTTTTCGGTATATTGAAACGTAGAGCTGGCAATACGCGCAAAACACACAGAATTTTAGCTGAAACAAGTAGTTTACCTAGCTATTGTGGGCTAGTTTAGTAAGGTTGACTGTAAAAGGTTCAAAGGTTTGAAATAGTATGAAACTATGATATAACTAATAAAGTAAAATTCTAGCTAATAAGACAACTTAAAGGAGATCCTTTATTTGCTGGATACTGACCTGCAGCGAAGATCTTGTGCCATCGTATTTAACGTTAATATACCATGTTCCGATCGGAGGCTCGTCCGTTATTTGAAAATCAAATTGTACAACCATATTCATTAGGGGTACATCTTTCCAAATGGCCACCACGTTATTCAATGGGTCGGCGACCGACACAGTCACGTTGCCGTCTTTTCGAGGGCGGAGATTATAATCAAGAGGCATTGCTCGAATATAGACTGTTTGAGAAATATCACGACAAAAACAATACATACCATACGAATGTATAGTTACAAAACTTCACACACAAATAAAATACTCGATTGGATAATGAACTTCATTGTGGTTAGGAGAATCGTAATTTTTTAATGATTTTTCCCTTTGTTTTTTTCTTTTTCATATTTGTTATATTTTAAAACATTTGCTTAGTCTTTGCATCGATTCGTTTATTTCACTTTATATTGCTACGGCTTTGATATCTGTATATTTTTAGCTTAATTTAATATCAAAATAAGGAGTGGTATTGTAAAGTATGGTTTTTGTTGACTGAGGCAAAATCGTACATAACGTTTCGTAGCTTTGATCAAGATCTTGGTATGAGGCGATGTAACATAAGTAAATAACGGTGACTGAACATAAATGATGGATATTCCAGTTTCCTTCAAATAATCGGCATTATTAATACGGTTCGTGCATCGACAAGCGAATCCTCTCCGTAATGTGGTACCTCTTGATGTTTCTCCGAAGAGCAGTACGTGAGGACCATTACTGTATATTTTATAAAATATGAACGGACTTTTTTGCTACAACTTTCATCGGAGAAGCTGGTGCAAAGGTATGTTTTCGAGAGGCATAACGTACCTCTCTGTCCCGGTTTGTAGATCTTTTTGTCCGTTTGTACGAGCAGGAGTAGATCCGGCGGGTGTATTCGTATCGTCGTGTTCCGACTGACCTTCGTCTCCCCGAATTTAGCATCAAGCATTACTCGATATGTTTTTACGTAATGCTGGGAAGAAGGAAACCGTAAACGGAAGGGACAATTAATACGACGTTAAGTCTATAGTTACAGATCCGTTATTTCTATTAACATCCAATAAAAGGGTATGTGTCTTTCGTTAAGCCATAACCTGTAGGTAATTAGCGATGGCTAGCGGGGTGCAATGCAGTGCGATTCTCGTGGTTGCAAATGATGACGATAAATATTCAAGTTATTATCGGTCCGCGTACGTGACCCGAATCGCCTACGCAAAGTGGTCACTTGAAGCCCCTTCCGGGCTGGTGGGATTTCGTCTGGTGGGGTGAGCTGAGCCGAAGACTTTTTCGGTCGGTTGCCTATTGTTCGCACTGGGCAGTGTCCTTTCCACAGAACATAGTGCTCATTAAAGTAAGTTGCCAAGTTTCGCGCAATTCGTTCGGCAATGGTCGACTATTAGATGCCTAAGAAGACATAATGGGACAAAGATGATCTAAGAAGACGATACTTTCGCTTATAGCATAATTTAACCAGTTGCTGCTGAGCCAATCGCATGTTTGATCCGTGATAAATGTTTCTTGCATTGCTAATGTAGCACATTTCTACTGAAAAACTTGAAAATCAAACTAAATAACCATACGTTATAGTGGTATAGGTATGCAACAGGTTAACTGCAATGGGAGGTCATGATAGAAAGATTACAATTGAAGAATACGAGCGAGTGACCGGACTGTACGGTAGATGGTAGCTGTAACGGTTACGAGGCAACGCAATAGATCGACTGATGCAGAAGACGACTGATGCAGAAGACGAACTGCTGCAGCCGTTTAGGATACTTTATTGGGTTTAATCAATTACATATGTTTATACTCGAACAAGTGATGGAACCCAATTGTTGTTTCTGATAAGATAACGGTGAGATCAGTGAGAGAGCCGTAATCGTTTCAGAAGAAGAGCAATTTATTTACCAGGGTAATAAAATGATGGCAACAATCTCTCAGTAGATCTGCATCTAAGCAAGAGTTTGTGATTTCAATAAAAAAAAAAAAACAAAATTAACCACCTATAAGGCCGATGGTTTACTTTACATATACAGGTAGAGTAAAATTTTGTTCGAGTTCATATTGGCAATTATTTCTTTATTCAGCATGACACATGTAGCGCGGTGACTAATTGTTTGCGCTAAGGAATTTTCGGAGCACTTGAAACGGAAAAAGCGGGCAGGTTACTAATGTGCAGTTAGCTAATCGCCGGAGCAGAATACAAATAGGACAGCTGTGGCAAGCCTGCCACAGGATCAGTGAAACAAGGTAACAATTGGCCAGAGCGGGTATATACTACCAACAGGATAATATGGTTTGTATCACAGGGTTCCAGTAGGAATGCAGCCGGTAGACTACCAAATTGTACGTCAAGGGTCGCACTTCTAGCCCAAAGCCAATAGTCTTGAACCTCGTGTAACACCAATCCGATATGTTATGAACACGTCAATAAAGCAATTGTAGTAGGGCAGAATAAATATTTCAACATTCCCATCGAGGTATGAGATTGCTGTAGCTGGTAACTCACGACTCCAACACGATAACTGCTAAGATGTATTCAAGCTTACTATACTAGGCTGGGTGTGACATCAACAAATCAGGCCAATGGCAACTGTCGGAGGGAGCATGGCGAAGCCGGCAGGCCGGGGTACGATTACTACTGAATGCAGGTCTGATAACTGTGATGTCGTGACGAACAATTTGGACATCGGTATTGAAAGTGATCGTGTTGTATTATTGATAAGAACTCTCTATCTAAGTTCACTTGTGATCTCCTAGAGGTCAAACAGATGCTCCCAGATGATGCCAAAGCCGTTAGTTTTACAGGAATCTTCCCATAATGCATACAATCATATATACAGCTAAGGTCTGACTTAGTCACAGAGTAACGTCATGCTACTGATCGATACGATGTATTGAAGTGAAGGCCGTACATAGCCCAGCAGGATAGGTAATCGAAGTTAGAACAATTAGTTTAGTCTAAAATTGGCTCCTAAGTAAGTGCGAAACTAAAGTCTGAATCTTTTTCAAAATCATATACTTCGCTAACGAGTTATACGAATTATTTTTTGACATTTGGGAGTATAGTCCCCGTCAACTATTTCCTTATTAAAAATATTTTATTATTACCGTTTTTTCGGTGCGGGCGATCTTAATATCCGATACGTCGAGCTGGAATAGGTGTCCGTCAGCTTTCTTGAGCTCGTAGTCCTTAGTGTAATGTACCACACTGCTGTTGTCTTGATCTACCACTTTAATAGTGACATTTCCATCCTGGTCCTGGTTTTCCACATCAAGAATGAACATGTTTTTGTCTCCTTCATACATGACTTTCGGTAGAAGGCATATGAAGCTTACGCATCCATTGCTATGAATACATAGTACAACAAAAACATGGACTAACGAATTATAACGGATCGGAAAATATTTAATACACACAATATTTTATATAATATCACGTCACAGTCAGCTTTAATGGGTACTGTAATACACCCAATGCCAATTAGCTAGAAGAAGAATGATTATAATGTGTCGTCAACATGTCAACAGATAACAAGAATTTCTACGAAACCGGCATTTCTTTAGCTTGTCTAATTTATCAAACCATGCAACAGCTCAATATCGCATGAAATGACAGTTTTTTTTACCACATTACAAAAAATATATTGATCACATTCTTACCGCCTATATTTCGCTATTCGTTAAGTTCGATGGCGGAATCATGCCTAAAAACTACATTTTTAAACGCGCAGAGTATGGCGGCTCGTACCCTTTTCAGCAGGCCATACACTTACCCAATTCGAAGTTAGCACCTAGATTACGAAACAGTACATCTATGCGAATCTATGTTGCATGTATATACATACGCTGTGTAAAGCGCCAGCACTGACAACTGTGATTGATTATCGTATCGTATTGGAAAACTAGAGGTTGTACTTCGTCAGCTGTTAATTGTCTACCATAATCCTCTGAGCGTGAGGCCGAGCGTTGTCGTGCGGTAGAAGCGGTTTACCTTTTCTTAATTGCTCAATAAACCGTGTTTTTTTTCTCCATAATCTCCTCTAATCGTTGATCATACGCATCGACAAACCAGGTCTTACGATTCTCTTGTTACTATCACCAGCATTAGAAAGATGCTATAGGCTTTTGTAGTTAGTTGTGCTTTAAACTGCATATGTAACCACCCGTGATTAGTGTGGGGGATTTCTTTTTTCACTACAAGTACTAAAAAGGTGCAGGGATAGGTTACTTAAGGGCAAAAGGGAGGAAGCGTCTTGACAGCCTTGGTTTTTTCCGTAACTTTTAATTTTTCGTTCTTCGTCCTTGCAGAACCCATTTTCGAGTTAGCGTTTCTTTCCCGGAATTTTTTTTGAACCAACGGCTTACAGAGTTTCTTGTAGTAAAACTTTGACCGAATATGAGGTTTACACGGCGAGCTGTTTCGGCCGTTATGGTTTCGAGATAACTATATCACCTAAATTTTTAGAGTTGTCCACGTTTGTTACAACCTGCCTGCTAAAGGCCCGGGTTAGTTGGAATATCCAAGCAAGCGGTCTCAAATTTTATAGGATACAAGTTCATGTCAAAAATAAACGTCCAGAAATATTGCACCACTGCAACATAGCGCCATTTTCGTCGTTTCACCATTATGGATCATAATTGCGCCCGATAGCTTTTCTCCAAAAACAAAAAACAAAAATCAATTGCCATGCATGCTGAAATGTTTCACCTACTACAAACGGCTTTTGTGATAACAACTGTTCATTAAAATTTACCTTTGGTCCAATAGCCACACACATCTCTACTAGATGTAAAGTAAATTGTCAGAATATTTTAAAGAAGACTAAACATTTTCAAAATCGGTTTTTTCAAGAACTGTACCCTATGCTAACTTTGAAAATGGCGCTATAAATTATTCTATATAATTTTGTGGGCCTAACATGTTGTGAAACGACGTCGAAGACGACAGGTCTGGGGACATCAAATAGAGATAAGAACCCGCACATAAAATCTTAACGTTAATGCATTTCGCTGCAAAGATGGCAACATATTTATTTAGAGCAATTTCATTGCTGGTCAAGTTCGTTTTCACGAGCGGAACTTGCTAGCCGATCGCGATACTTATAAGTTAGTTATATATATTGCACAGGGCCTATCTTTCCATGGCAGAAGTAACATGCAGATAATGTGGTTTCATGTGCGGAAGCGGAACATTACATGAGTGATAAAAACAGCATAGAATAACTTCCTTCAATTATACGGGTTGCGTCGTAAACGCAAGGAGCAAAAGGAAAAAAAAATTGAAATAATTTATTATTATTGAAATACAAACCATTGGGCTAACGTCAAGGCTACAGCGACGGAAAGCAATAGCCCTCCTCGTAACAGTGCAGGAGGCCCACCGTGCATATCCATCCTGATTCTAAGCACGACGAGATATAGAGGCTACAGCATTCGAAAACTCTCTGAAATAAATGACAAATATAATTGTGTTATTGTTAAAACACAAATTTATATAGCTACTACCACTAGTAAGTACTTTTTTTAAAATGTTACTTAACTACATTTACTTTTTCCATGGTTGGAGCGAAACACACTGGTACACTCGACCCTATCTTCAGAGTTCCTGGATCACACCTCACCGTTTCAGGTTATGCAGTGTGGGCTGATGCTCAACTACGTGGTGTGATACGCATAGATAATTTGTCGACGACTGACCAGCTCTTTCAATGCTGGCAAATGGCTAAGATAAGTGCAAAATATACATAACACCACACTAAATCTGATGAAGGTTCCTCGTGACGCGCGATGTCTTTTGGCTTTTTTCTTGCCCGCTGCATTAGCCCCTCGCCATGGCGTAACCACTATGGAAAGATGCGCTGCACAGAGCAGCACTTGGCAAATGTAGCTGACTACCTACAAACGACTTTGAGCTCTATCTTACAGGATCCACACGAATTTGACAGATGTATAATGATAGTAGCTAGTAACAAAGCATTGGCCTCCAGAATACAACGCTTTACCAACAAAAGTAGGTCCTGTTGTATCGTGGCTTCTAACCATCTAACGTTTACAATAATTCGTACAACTATTCCCCGTAAAGGTAGGATCCACCATGCAGCAAATGGATCTCAAGAAGGTAAAATCTTTAGCAAAATGCTAAACGGGTGATAGCATTTTACGCTAATTTAGCTTCCTTTTGTTCACTTTTGTTACAAGTCCTCTGTGTTATAAAAAGGAAGACCTAAAGGGAAAGAGGAAAGATCCTCTAAAAACACCAAACATCGGTTGATAAATTTTCCAACTAGTTAAACTTCTTCTAACATGTTGAATTCAATACACACAAGATAAGCGTTTTTTGGCGTTTGAGAGTGGCTGTTTTTATTCCTACTTCATCTATTAAAAATTGCTATAAACATTAATTTTCACCAATGGATACTTTGCTCGCGAAGCTCCCCTTACGACACGAAGGAGCAGTACAAAACTGTTTTTAAACCAACAGAGTTAATAATAAGCTTACCTATATGTCTAGATAAATTCATAGCTTCATATTTATTAGGATACTTCTTGTAATGATGATATTACGAGGTAGAATGCTAGAAATTAAGGGAGTAAGTTTAGCCCTGTCAAAATATGGAATTCTCTTTTATATTCTATATGTATTGTAAAATTAATCAGATCACAAGATCTATAGAGAAATCCTTAATTTCTTTTTTGCTAACGTCAGTCTCTAGAGCATGTTTCAATCAATTTTCGAGATCGATCAAGTGTCCTAGTAACCTATCATTATAAATTGAATTTATTAAGCAGAAGGTTTCGGTAAGAAGTTAGTTGCTAGCTAACAGTCTATAGCAATGTCAATTGTCTGCATCTAACTAATTAGCTCTATTCATAGCTACGGCATACTCGATATAAGATATAGCTGAAAATCAATCTACGTTAAGAACTTTCTCGAGAGTTCGAAAATATTTACTGCGTAGGCTACATATCAGCTATAAAAATCATCGCTAGTATTTTTTTAAAGCCGCAGCATCTCCAAGACCCTGTCTTATCTGCAGTAGAGAACAGACACCAATTATTAGCGGGATTAGCTTAAATCATTACTTTTTTAGGAACGGGTTTACAAACCTTTTTGCACACGCCGTTCCAAAAACTAAGCTTACGTTTAGCGTGCCTGTCGTAGTAGTAGTAGTAGTAGTAGTAGTAGTAGTAGTAGTAGCAGCAGCAGCAGCAGCAACAACTATACAAATACTAGTCTAAATCGATCAAGCAATAATATATTCTCATGACACTCAATATCGTTATGTACTCGCAGAGTTTTACCGACGTTTTAGACACTGACTATTATTGAAAACGGAGAGAGATTTAATACCACTGTATGTTATCACATTTGGCAGTTCTTCTGACCACATGCTCAGCATCTCAGTAGTCCAAGAGGTTGTATGCGCACAATTTCTACATTTATTGGAGCACAAGTCTAAATCCCTTTAAGGCAGGCTTCGTGATTACGCTGGTTCAATGGCAGATCGTCGGTACACAGAAGCATAACTTGTTTTTGTTCAGGCTACGAAACCAAAACTTCCTCTGCTAGCTGCCGACCTGATAGCTTAAACATGGCTTGTGCACAGTAACTAGCCTCTTCCTAGGAATCATCTCAAACGGACTGATGTTAATACTTGCTATAATAACAATAATGAAGAGTTCTTTTTTGCCGTTAGAGAGCTCGACGGAGCAATCTTGTCTGGCCAACAACAAAATGTTGTATTTAACAATAGTTTACATTGTTTGACGAATACTCGTATGTGACTCGACAGATCAGAGCTGACAAAGACGAACGAGGCCTACACAGTCCAAGGAATAAATGTGCAGCCCAACTGATTGGGTAGTACCATATGTTTTTGTGTCCTTAGCTAGCAACAACTTTACGTCTAGCATGATTCTCGCTTCCGTAGAGTGAATGGGCATCGTTAGAAGATTTCTGAGTATACTTTCCGTAAATGATTAAATCAACTGCGCCATTGTATGGCTCTAAATGAGCTTCATTAACAGAAAAAAAAAAATAGCATTGACGAGCGGCATCGCCCGTTTTACATTCGTGTATGCGCCTGTAAACACATTGCGTAACTGTTATTGACTTACGCGAATAAGGGTGAGTGGCTATGAAGAAATAAAGCATCTGTAACCAACATAAATTATCAATCAAAGTGTACCACGGTTATGAGATAGGTTACAGCATATGATCTGTGCGTAGCGATCGCTTCCTAGGAGGGTTATCAGCTCTGAATTGGGAAGAGTGATTTATCAGAACAGACTGATGCACTTGAGTAAAGGTGTGAACGCTTTGTCTTGACGAATGACGATATGAAAATCAGATCAATTCGGTGGCGCGCAATTTGAACGAAAGTGTTTTAAGAAATTTTCATTTAAAAAATGAATTCATACAAGAGAATGAATGCTACCTTTTGCTAAAAATGTTAAAAAAATATTGTTAGTATTTTAAGTCAACAGTTGAAAATTGCGGATAGTCGTATGCTAGGACCCAAAGTAGGCAATAGGGGACAGCACATTATCGATTCCGTAATCGAGGTTTAAGGTTCAGTTTTTCATAAAGAGGCTACGTGCCGTCTTCCGAGTACCAGTATATCACTTTATTTACGCTTTGAACTGTCCAGTACACGTTATTCAGAAAGCAGCAGATCTCTATATCATCTCCGTATTCTAGATACTTGATTTTAGGAAGGATGTATATACGTCAAGTATAAAAACTATATATATTGGTAGGTTAATGCCACTTCTTTGTGGGACACCAAACAAGGCAGGTAGTGAAAGACTCAGAACATTGTCCACTTTCACGCGGAACAACCTGACGACCAGGCAAGCTCTGCAGGCCATAATGAAGTGGAAAAGCGGGTACTTCATTCACGTAGTCTTGCAAGTTCATTCTGTCGAAGGCACCGTTTTGATCGGAGCAAAGATAGTAATATGGCCTGCAACCATTTATGTATTTGAGCCAGTCTTGGACCATTTACAGAAATTGGACCACAAAGCTATGTTGGACTAAATGACAATATATATTATAAGAATGAAACTTGGCATGCTTTTAAAAAATTCAGCTATGGAAAACCGAACCGTAGTTGTCTTTATCCGTCTAACGATTAACAAATGTGGGGAGAAAGTTAAGAGTGAAAGAGGTTCAGAGCTACATTATCCTTATGTGATCCGACGAAACCGACGATCAGAGAAGCTCAGCAAGATTTCCTTAAATTATCGGTAGAATATTAGTTATTAAAAATTAGTTCCTCTCTTTTGTTGATACAGAAAACACATCTTGGGCTCAGAAAGATCGATCAGAGTAACCAGGAACTATAACTGTCTACTGCGAGGATCATTCATATGAAATGATGATTCTGAAACAGCTGATTGTGTGATAAGGCGAAGCGGTTGGCGGAAGTAATCGCTTTACCAGTTCAGTTGTACGTAGCAGAAGACGACGGTGACAGAGACCGAAGCGATTTGCGTAAAGGGTTCGCGTATCGGAAGAGTGAACAAGGGTCCCAAAGGTCAGATTATTAGATCTACACTCGTGCCATTAAACAAGAACGGAAGCGCGATGGAAAAGATCCTGTAGACATCAACGAGTCCATTTTCAAGCTCGAACCCTTTGTCTCGAAGAACTTCATTCTAAACGATTTGGACTGAGACAATTATGTTAGTGTGCCTCTAAAACTATTTTTATAATGCTAAACATTTGAGTGTTTTCTGATCAGACAAAAAAATCAAATTGGATTTTCAATAACTCAAATGCCTAAAATTCAACTAAGCAACTTCATCTGGTCAAAGCTGAAGCTTTTCAAACGTTTTGCACAGTAAAAATCCGTATAGAATATTAATAAAAGAAAGAATCAATAGGTTCTCTATATGTGCAAATATCAGTGTAATGAAATAAGTACGAGAGAAAAATCAAAATATCGTTTACACTGCTAATAGTAGACACCGCTTGGTAGCCTTTTTAGAGTTTTGACCTAACCTTGAGATGAACAGAGGGAATACCTCTTTCTGGCCGTACAGGTTCGCATATAAAAGAACCTGGTGACCTTTGATAGTAAATTAAAGATGTCATTTATTTTGTACACTAACGTCAGGCATCACATTCCATATTTGACAGGCATAAGAATTCAGATAAAATTCGATCTCGGAACGAAGAACAGTTACCCCCCGTTAGACTTCACTGTACCACAACGTACCACTGAAACAACGTCTAACTGACAAAGTATAGAAATAGGACAGATATATAACGTAAACGGCCAAAGGCAACGAGACATCCGTTGACAAAACGTTCTATCGTTTCCGTATAGCACTAGCTTCCTAATGGTACAACGATTGCAAATATTTCTTGATTCTCATCCCTATGACCGAACGATGTTGAGGAAATGACTTTTTGTCGGCGTGTAATTTGCGTTATGAAATTCTGCATTTTAGAAAAAGGTTACCCACTTTCCCCAACTGGTTAACATTTGATGCCCTGGCCTGAATGGCCTAAACGACGCCGCTCAAATTGGTCATTGACGCAGAAAAAGCAGGTAGACACCTAAAGATTAAAAACACTGGCCAAATAAGGCAACAAATAACAGGACGTACAAATCTCCTTTCGATGTTTCGAAAAGTTCGTGTATAGCAACGAGATAAGGGCTTAAATCGCTTTTATCTATCGATAATACAAAGATACTATATTATATTAGTCTAGTGTTTATGCTTTTTACATTGACAATCAATTAGCGATGCTACATTTAGACTATCTAATTAAGAAGCAGACGATCGTCTGACAGCGACCGCTTACAAAACTGCCATGTCCATACGACGGAGACCCGTGTACACGTTTAACGTAGACGTTTCCATGTGGCTTAAGCTTTAGCAGGATACACCTAAATATTCTATTTTTGCTTTATTTGATTTCATTGTGAACTTTAGTTCTACATTTCAGTATTGTAAGTTTCCCCAATAGAAAGATACCGGTGCAGCACGACCACGAACACAGTCACGCAGTGTAGGGCTAGCGATCTCTTTCTATATCTTACATATGTTTAAACCTATTTCAGTATTTTCCGAAGGAAAAGGCCCAGCCAATACAATCATTGTATTTAATCTGTTCATGAGAACGTCCTAATCTTTCTCGAGCTTCAAACAGAATTGAAAAAAGCTATATTAACAAGTAGTCACTCCGATTATACTTGTTAGCCCGATGAGAAGAGTTTCAGGCTTTACTGAAGAGAGTGAGATTCTCAAAGTTGAACATTTCTACTTAGTTGAATAGACTATTCAATGTATGGTATAAACACTTCCAGTCAGAGTTAGTGCCCATTATAAGCAACGATATTTTACCTAGAACTGATGGCCGATCGTATAAATGAGTGATAGCTTTTTGAAACATCAAAGTGATACATTACAGTTTTAATACAAAAAGTGTTTTTGTAGATTCATTCCGATATATTATCAATATTTTATATTACCACACAACTAACGCGACTCAAAGATCCGAAAGATCATCACACTTCAATTAGCACCGCAATGTGGCATTGTGGAATGTAGGAACCAACTATTGATCAAGCAAATATTGCATCGCACGGAGGAAGAAATAGGTTAAAATGAGGACTCCATAGGTACTGAAGAAGGTCTAAAAGGAAGGACAAAATACTCTCTAAAAGGACGATCTTTCTCTCCCTCGACGGGCTAAACCTTTCAAAACCATTATTAAAATACTGCATTGGAAGATGATTTCAGATTAGAACAGAAACCCTTAAGCAAGCTTCGAGAAGAAACAAATATCGACCCTTCGTTGGCCTCTCCTAGCGCGTTAAAGATGAAAAAAAAAAAAGAAAGTAACTTTGAAATGTGCAAATAATCTGCTTTAATGCTCTAACAATAAAATATTGTGACTCTTCTGTGACCAACGGGTCATGCTCCTCATGGCCCATTGGTTGACTGAGGGGCTAAGATTCGTATCTATCTACGTCGTTCGTCAAGCGGTTGAGCCTTTCGTATAATGGATTCATGAAAGACGAAGCCGTTTTACACTCAGTCCGCTTGCCGACCATCTTTCCAAATTAACACTCTGTTGGAAAAATGATATACAGAAAAAGAAATTGATTGTTCAATTAACGCGAAGCCTTAAGCGTAGACATTATGACTGATCACAGGTTATATTTAAATGAGCGCTGTAGGATAGTCTGGTCGAAACTTAAAAGAATAACGAAAGAAGAGATAACGCTATAGGTTACCGTACCGAACACAGTTCGTATTCTACGTACTTAGTTTCTTTGATATCCATGAAGTTGAGCTATAGATTATCTCTAAGTAGCTAAAAACTATTGCGAATGGAAGCGATAATGCTTTTTCTATGAATTGGCTATGAAATTACAGAGACATTGATGTACTATACGTGTGCAGCATTACCATGTCATCAAGATGAAGTTCCGCGTGTAAAGTACGTCTCCGTTGAAAATATGTCACAGAATATTGTACGTTTCCGAGTACGTTCTAGGCTACAGTGATCAATCGTCAACCCTTATGCAGTCTATATTTAAGGAACGTACAACGGAAAGAACGCTACGCTAAAAAAAAACCGGCTATTCTACGTGATGACCGTACTTTATTACTGCATCAAAAAGGTATAGATACTTCGCATTCATCGTCTTGAGGCCTAACCATGGAATGGGTTTGCCCGCCTGTCTGTTACTCACAAGCCGAAGCATTTAAGTATGTATGTACGTTGGATTTTGCAAGCAAATTAAGTTAAGTGACAATCGTCTACGGTTTGTTTTTTTTTTGAAACACTAGAACGAAATCGAGCGTCCGCAAGTGACAGTAGAGGTACCGAACACTTCTGGGAACCAGCCCGTGAGCCAGTACCCAGCGCACGAACGGTACCAACAAACACAACTGACACTTTTATTCATCTCTAAATTGAACATTCATTTCCAAGGTACCGTCATGGAGGGCGTTACCTCCATCGAACAAAGATTACATTCCATAGTTAAAATTAAAGCAAAATGCATATCTCGCCAAAAATAAGCACAACTTCTAATTTGTTGCAACTGAACTGAGATAATTGTATATGATAACTTACACGCTTCGTTATTGTAAGTTTTCGTATTATGTGTTCTGGGAGCTGCTAAAGAAAAAGCACGCTACATAAATGCGGAACGTGCGAAGATACATGGCGAACTTTCATCCTTTCAACATACGGGTGCGTTGCGGTTGTGATTATCCTGTTAGTACTAGTAACAGCAACAATATAGGTGAGCAACTTTTTTATGCCGTATCCATACGTAAGCGCATCTTCATCAACAAACGGGGCAACATACAAAACGCAGTAGGATCTAAACTCGCGACAATATCATCTTCATAAAGAACTGAACTCACCAAGTGGCAACAGTCGTGCGCTGCTACCTGACGATGCTAATCCTAGTGCGCACTACCCCACACTGACAATGGGGTAGAGGAGACGAGCGAAACAAAACGGGAGAACAAAATAAATTTTCTACCCCCGTGTTGCTTACGTACACGTTCTGTGGCCGCTAAGCGACAGCCAAGCGCGGGAAACGGAAGCAAAGATCGGCGACCCCGTCGGACCAACCAGTGGAAGCTGATCGAAGATGCTCGCCACTGCACCAGAAGTGGAAGCACGAACCGTGCCAATAGCGTCGCTACGGCGGCACCACAGACAACAAAAAAATCACCCGCTGGCAATCGAACACCTTCTCGCCACCTCGACAACATTACCGGCATCAAGGCTTAATAGATCCTTTTTGTTAGGTGCGCCCCAACGGTAACCGGCGCACCGCTATTGCTCGCCATTACTACTGCCATCAACAGCAGCAGCAGCAGCAGCAGCAGCAGCAGCACGGCCACTACGGCCCTGTACGGCTTCCTTTACTACCGCCACTGCTGCTGCTGGTACGACTCCCCCGTCTGCATGAAACGAGAGAAAAAGAGAGAGGACATGTAGCGAGGAACAGGGACGAAACTCCGTTCGTCTATGAGATACTTTTCTGGTGCTACCGTATCGTGGCGCTGTGTTCTTTGCGCGCCATAACAATCAGCTGTTTACACCGGCTGTTGCTGTTGTTGTTGTTGCTGACAACCACAGGAGTGGTGCTGTGAAGAGCGCACAGGGAAATATTGGATATCATGAAACACCTAAGTGCTTTTGTCACATGTGCAGAAGGCGCATCGCAGGCGACTTGCGCGCTTTGAGTTCGTCTTCGAATGTTTATCAAGTAAGAGCTAGCGGACGTCGTCTATCAAAGGTAAAGACACTGCCTTTTGTTGTGGCTGCTGGAGACGAAAACTTGGAAGTCAACTCTTACATTTACCTCACTCAGCTTTCTGGCTTATCTACAAACCATCAGCTTTAAAAATGACGACGACAGTTACGAATCGCACATAGCCGAACAAAATGTGAACATTTCCTGGACGAACCACATAGTGCAATGCGTGTTTCGTCCAACTGGTACTCAAGCCTTGATGGTTTAAACAATGGCTAGAGCTAAATTTACTTTTTTAAACCCTCGTATACTGGAAAATATCCGAAACTAAATAGTTTTTAAAAACGTTTACCGCTCCAACTGTCACCTCCATATATACCTATTGATAGCCTAGCGGACTAATGTTCGCTTTAATACACCTAATTACAATGGCAAATGTAGTTCTCGTCAGGATTTTTTACGGCAGCGTATTTTCTAGCCACTCAAAGGGAATATCCACTGTTTTATTAGGGGATAAAGTGCAAACCTAAAAATTCTCTCTACTTCAATTTTGCCACGTTACATAAAATTCTGAACATACGCAACAATGGCCATATTTAAATCTGTAGTGTCTTTGCTGGCCTTTATGCTCTACAATAACGCGTAAAAAACCTATACATTTGTATCACCCGAAGGTCGAAAAGATGAAACACGCAACAGTTCTAAATTCAGTTATTTTGAAACTCTTATTTAGCTATATACTGCTTAAAAGTACGTAAGAAGCTATTCAGCACATACGTTATAAGACTGTTATGTGAAGGCCTGAACTGTTGGACTGTTCTGGATACATGTTTATTTTTTGGGAAGCGCGAATCTCTGAACGTAACGATTTGACTTATATTTTTGTACATTGACGTGTTAATTGATGAGTAACGGAATTGAATACATCAGTCGAGCTACAGTTCTAAGCCAACGTCACGGCTTATTCGAATCCACATGACGAGGTTCTATTTCAGCGTTCTATTTGCTCGAAAACTTGAAACAAAAATAAGCAAGCTTATTATCTCAGTATCTCTCTTCCTTTTCTTTTTGTGCGTAGAAACAAGGATGTTTTTGCGTATGCGTAGACGGAGGGAAGGCTGCTTGCAGTCGATTTTAGCAGTTTCGCCTATATCGTTGGACTCAAGATAAATGTACTATCAAGTGCTTTAAGCCATCTATGATTGTAACCATCATGATTAAATCCAGAATCTGTTAAAACCAGCTCACAGTTCCGCCATGTACCCCTACGTGGAACGGTAAACGTTCCGTATTCTCATTTTATTATCTGAAATGTGCCAAAAGCAACATCTCGATAGAAACAGAGATAGGGTCACTCAAAGAGATTCATGTGGAAGCATTTCAACGAAATCTTGGCTCTTTTATATCGGTGCCTTTTGTGGGGTGGATGCCCATAGCTTTTTCACCAACCAGTGGCTCTTTATAGGAGATTTACTACATTCTTTCTATAAACGCTATTGATCTATGTTGTGAGACTCGCTGCTAGGTGCCGTTTGATCGGACCTATGGCACAGATACCATGCAATCTACTTAGAGACCGCTGTTTGTAGCTAGTCGTAACCATTGCTGACCGTTCGCGTTAAACCAACAACTGACCAATATATAATTAAGTTAGATTGGCGCCCATCATGGCGTCGACTAAACGAGAAGGACCATTTAAACAAATCATCTGAACAAATTAAATGTCCTTGCCGATGAACCGCGTGTCTCCCATGACATTTATAGGAATACAATGTCTACACATAATTTCGCATTCATTCAAGTATGGTTAAACATTGCACCCCCAGTTTAATCATATCTGCATACTGCACTTTCAAATACAAACGCATTTTTTTCCGTTTTCACTCTTCAGCCAAACTGTAGAAATGAATATACCGAATTTTCCCCCGAGAAAATCAAGTGGTTTTCGCGCCATTACATCGCATTGTGAAATTGTAGCGAAGTATATTGATGTTATGCAAGGAAGGCGAGAGTCTAGTCTGAAGGAGCGTGTCAATCTACTTCACTCCATTGTGAACGAAAGCAGCAACGGCAACCGATTCTGTTTCTACACACCCGGTGAACTGAAGCCAGAATTCACCATTGAGGAGCGTAATTCGGATCTATTAGATATGAGCGATGATGAAATTCTACTTGGTAAGTACGCTATCTGGCCGGTTATCATTTGCCGACGAGTATCACCAACAAAATGCAAGTAGGTACGCGTTTGATGTATTAAACTGACCTTGAAAAATTGTCATAGCGTCCTGAACCACTGTATTTGCCGCAAAACTTTTGGCAGTCCAGAGCATCACGCTAAATAGAAGTGTCCTAGAAAGGATGATTACGCATGAGAAATCGCAGCTTCTTGTTCTAGCTCTGAACAGACAACTAGAACCCTAAACGTGTGTAGATCTGCCATAGTCGTTGACAAAAACACCACGCCATATAAATGGCTTGGGGTTGGGCGAAATACAGATGATGGAGCAAAGGAACTTTATTTGATGTTCTAAAGTTATGAGCACTATTACGCTATGAGTAACAAACTGTGCCGTTTCCGAAAATATTAATAACGTGCCATAAATTAAAATAGTGGCACCTATCAATTTAATCGTGTTTACAGCGGTTCCGGATGCACATTACACTGCCATCGACGAGCTAGTTGAGAAGTCCAATGATGATGATAACAAGAACGAGGCCGATAAGGTTGAGCCCGCAGCTCCGCTGCTGTCTGTCGAAGATTTAGGAGATCAGACACAATCCGATTTACTTGATCTAAAAGCTGCTCTTCATCAGGAAAATAGTGAAATTGACGTTGGTATATTATTTTTGGAGGGGCCGACCGCTTCAGATCGGCTGGCATGTGTAGCTGACGATTTATCCAGATTGCCCACAAAGCAAGTGACAAAACTGTTAAAGGTACGGCGAATTTGTCTATTCGTTAACTAAAGAAAAAGTGGCTTATCTTATACGAGTCTAGGCAATAACAAGATATTTATTTGAGTGCTATTACTAAGATTGTTCATGTCCACCCTTCCAGTCGTTTATGGCATCAGACACTACTCGAATGCTCCAACAGGATTTGGCTCTTATTGGACGTCACCTATTATTTACCCATCTAAAGCATCTTGAAGCTTTCCCTGGAACCCTATTGATTTCGTGTCTTTCCGAATTCGCATCGAAATGGCCGCAGGTGTTTATGGAATCGGTACTTCAACCGACACTCATGGACCTTGATCGAGATCCTCTTGTACAAACCTTGAATAAGGTTCTTAAGACGTTCGGTTGCAGTCAATCATTATGGACATTGGAGCTACTTCTCAAGAATCTCGTCAAGCTAGTTCGAAAAGATGACATTCAAGATTTACAGAAGCTAAAAATGATTAATACCGTTCTCGGCTTTATGGAAATACTTCTGAGCAATACAACTGTTATTCCAACGGAAGTATTAAATCACCTGCGCTTACTATATAATGACCACCAGTTGGAATTAAACAAAAGTCGTCTTTTTGCAAAGGTTATTTTAGACAGTGTTAAACGTGTTTCAAAATTAGGTAACCTGAAGGCGTTTATTTCAGATTTGGTCTCCGCCATGGACCACCCGATGAAGAATGTAATAAGGAAGGTGGCAACAAGCAAACCTTAAAAAATCTCTAAGAGTAATCTATTTCCTTACATGCATGCATATTTCAATATAAACCTAACGTGCAACAAATATGAACGAACTAACTAGTAACAAAATACAGAGTGCATACGAGATACAACTGTGTGTGCCAATTTTTGAGTGACCAAGGTAGGCCCTGCTGTGGCTTTCAAAGCACTGGCCAGACATGTAAAACAAAACTTATCATAATTCTGAGTTTCCGATGTTTTTATCAAATAAATCCGATTCTAGAATCTAGCATTGCAACTTCTTCCTCAAAAGTTCTCTTAACAATTTGGTCCAAATAACGCTTTGTGTAAGACAAACAAAATGCACGACATTTACATAATAGTACTCAAGCAATCTACAATCTACTTTATTACCTAAAGTTAGGAAAGGTTTACATGTATTGGAACATTCACCCCTGGAAAATTTATATATATATATATATATATATAGGTATATATCCTGACCAGCTTTCTTATAGAAAGTGTACTGAAGTGCTTCAAATTGCTTGCTTCAAATTTACCACTAATTATCATTTACTGACATTACAAGATCTTTCAGCAAGTGCCGTATTCTATGACAAAATACACAATGGATAGATACTAAAAGGCTAAACTTCCAGATTAGGTTAACAGGAAAATTTGTAGAAATTCTTAGACTGTCAAAGGTCGTAAGGTTCCCGACAAGTCTCAAACGGAAACGCCTTAAAGGTCGTAATTGCAAGGGCCGAAAGCCCAGTATAACCAAGTAATATATAAATATACAACCAAGTATACGTATAGTATGTTTATGGAGTTTTAACCATCTTTACAAAAGCGAACCGATTCAGCGGCCTGCCTTTAAAATGAATAATAACTGCAAAAAATCCTCAAGCTGTTCTCTGAAACTTGAACATCCGCAACTATGAATGTACCATTATCATATATCTTCATGCTACGTTTCGTATCTTCGTAGCTCACCTTGCCATCTAAGCTCTTCAGATGTGCTCAAAGACTGGCTGGTAAGTGCTGCTTTGTGTTTTCCGTCATTACTAGAACCTTTCAAATAGCCCAGTAGTGTTTATTTGCCTTTTCTGCTTTAGCAGTCTTGCACTGATAATAGAATCACTATGATAATTGCTTCTGGGAGATATTTCTGCGAGCCACAGTTTACCTCTGTTTATCCCGCATTCTAAGTATCTCCATACTCCGACTGATCACTGAACCTTCGGAAGTCGGCCCGATGTGTTTCTGTAAACACTGTCAGTTGATTATGCATCAAACCTCTCGCCCTTAGAGCGCGTTACGCTTTCTCAGTAAATGTGCTAGCTACCGAGCAATGCGTATATACAAAGAGGACAATTCCTTACTTCAAACGTTAATCAAAATTATTTTTTCTACGAGTGCCCCCCCCCCCCCCCCGCCGCTGTTCTTCAATAAGCTCGACATACCTTTAGTGCAGAGGCGTTACTTGCGAAAAGCTCAGTGAAGTATGCGTGTGATCCACGCTCTGCGAAACTCATTAAAATTAATAAGGGAAAAAATGTTTATCTAGTGTACTACGGTAACATTTTCCATTGCAAGCACAAAAATATTGTCATTGTGGGGAAAAATGCTAATGGGCTGTTTTGTTGAGGAGCTAATATACTGGATGTGCCTGCTAGGAAACGATGCCTTTAGCAAGTGCGCTTCGACCTGCATGAGATTTATCATCTCCGATTTTTTCTGATGTAATAGTCGTATCACAAAACGTTTGTGTTGTAATTAAAGTTGATCCTGCAAAAGGATAGCGTCTTTAAGGGACACAATTGCAGCACGGACATGATGACCCAGTGCTCAAAGCGGATCATTAAAGCGCGGTTGTTTTTCATTGTAGGGTGCCGCTCTCACCTCGTAAAATACGCGTCAATATAATGGTGCGCTTATGGAGTCATGCTTCGGTGCGTACGTGGTATCAATAAAGCCTCATGACGACGCCATGAAGTGGCCAGAGTTGGTTTCTGCAAATTGGTAAGCCGCAGAAGCTCGACAACTTGGATCCGAAGTTTGGATCGAATGATTAATTTTAATCACTGGTTAACGTGAATATCTAATTCCAATTAAAAAGCAATTAGCTTCGTGTAAGCGACATGAAAGGATGACATACAGGCTAGTTTTCGAAGAGTTCTACGCCCCTTTTCATACCAGCAGTAGCTATTTTATACCCACAAAGTGAACACAAATGTGTATTGCCTATGTACCTCCGTGATCACAAATTGAACATGTGCCTCGCAGCTACATTACGCACTAATGTGATGGCTATATTATAAGGTTGACTTGAAACGTTTTCAATGTGAGAAACGCCGTTCGTTCTCGAATAGTCGGATTATCTAGCCGTTGCCGGTTACTACAGCGGGTCTGAAACAGATTAGCACGATCCGAAACTATATACATCTTCGTGCGTATCTATATACTTAACTTTCCATCAGTAATTTCGTTTCTGCTTTGCACCGCGGTGAGTAGAGTTAACCGCGCTGCTTTTGAAACACAACATCCTTCTGCTAGGAAAAATTCTAATTGGCGAACACAGGCAATTTGTAGAGTCATTGTTTCCCGTTAAAGTCGCGTCTGTGTACCTCGCTACTTTGAACTGGAGACAAGGATATCTGAGTCGCGCTTGCTGTAGCCATTTGGATTTCGGACATTTTAGCACTATATAGTCGTAATTTTAATGGCTTTCTTGAATCGGTAAACTATAGCCACTTTGATTTTGCCTGCCGAAAATTATTTGTCAAATCCCCTTAGGTATATACCTACAATAATAACGATACTACTAACGTTTGTTCACCCGAACGAATGGTGATGAGATGCGACGTCGCTTCTTCACGGCAAATGCACGCTCAAACAGATACTAGGTCGCAGATACCTTGAAGTCACAACAGCAAGTTCACTCAATACAAATAACACGTATATATTATTTCATCGATGAGCCTGATTTTCCTTGTGACAATCAATTTCCGCTTATTTCTTACCGATCTAGGTATAGACTCTGAGGCTTTGGCGTACGACAAGGGTAAACTGCCTTTGTGTTTGCCTGCTTTCTGATTTCTTTTTTTATATTTTTGTGGATCTGTACTATGAATCATAAACGGATCGTATTGCTTACTCCTGGTAGTCGTATCTCGAAAAGGATGATGACGCCAATGATATGGAGAGTGCGAGCGGGACCGATGATGACTGACCGACAGGCACTGCTACGACGGGGAGAATTAAAGAACAAGATGAAAAAGAAAAGGGAGGAAACCACTTCCATCAGCAGCAGTATCACCTCCTCCGTCTGCTATCCGTTGTCTGTTTTAGTCGCAAAAACCTTCATTGCTGCAGCCTGTTCGTCACCCTGCCAGTACTATCAGATCTGCACACTGTCGCTTCGTGCGTTTAGCGTCGCCTATACTTACGGCTAGTACTATTTGTCGCGCTGTCTTCGGAGTGGTTCATATATTCCGTTCTCTGTACTTCCCATTGTCCCTATTTCGCCAGCGAGCTAAACTAAGCTAGTTACAGCCACAGAGGGATAGGACAGGCGAGTCGCGCCTTGCTGCTGAGTTAGCACTATGACGTTTGTAATAGTAGAAGTAGTAACAGTAGGCGTGAAAGCATTGATGATGCCCATGACGACGGATAGCGATCGTCTTTCGTGCGTGATTCTCCGACAAAGAAGGAGAAATCGTGAGAGCGGATGCCGCAAACGGCTAAACAAACGTTATGCAGCGCCCTCTGGTGCCATACTTTATGTCAGCATTTACATTGACAACGGGCATCCATGTTACTAAATGTCTACATTATTGCGTTAGCGGCTACGACAACTACTATAGCTGCTACTGGAGCTGTCGCTGGGGGAGGTGTAGAACGCCCGCGGTGATGTTGACATGGCCGTTGCTGCCGCTGCTGCTGTTCGAGGACAGCTTGGCAAGATGAAGGCGGTGGCGGCGGCGGCGGCGGCGGCGGCGGCGGCGGCGGCGGCTGTGATGTAGGCGGTAGCTGTGATATCATCAAGTAGCCGCTTATCAATGGCGCGTTTTTTCACGGTTTTATGTTTGTCGACGACATTTCCATCGTGAAGGTACAGCCGGCTCCGGCAATAGAGGTCGTGGCAACGACAGCGTCAATTTCGCCGCCTGTCAACGACATCAACAGCGCTCTGTTGTTTGACAATTTAACAAGAGACATTGTCTCCACGGCGATATGGCCAGTATCAATGACAACATCCACCACGGCCACGTTGACCACGCACCTTTACCTTCATGGAATCGGCTCTCTGATGGAATTTCCAAAGGAACAGATGGTAGCGAGCAGTGATAGCGACATCGGCGCTTACATTCGGTTTTACACTCGGACAGTTCTACGAAGGCTACTTCTGACGCGTATTCAACGAATCCAATGCAACACTACGTTGCACGAATACACCTATATAGACACACAAAAACGTCCGTCATATGTTATTGCCTGTCCCTTATTTTCCTATGTGTCTCATTTTGTCAATTCATCTGGGAGCTGATCAAAAGTTGGTTGAGCCGTTTGATTACGTAAGATATCATCAACATTGCTGCAGGTTGCCTAAAATCGTTGTTTTCTCAGAAACATCCAAAAAAAGCTCTATACTATTATTTACTACTGTTTATTAAACCCCACTTTTTCCCACTCTAATCAGAAAGGTGGACTTCTCAAATAGTGACTGAAGGTACGGTGATTTGGGTATCACCCAGTAACTAATGATGCCTCTAAAAAATCGTCATACCACATCCTCTTACGTTAATTTGCTATTAATCAGGAATAGATACATGAATATATATATATAATAATATTTATACATGTATATAAAGTCCGTGCTTTTTTAGGTATGGTACTCTAGCTCTACGAAGCTTTTAATGTGTGTTGCACACTGCGCTAACATTGGTCGCCTGCTGTTCAAAATGATAAACATCTATTTTCAATAAACCTAGAAACAACGTAGTGTTTACATTTACTAAATATTTGGTCTCAATTGAATGGCATGGCGAAAAATAGATTAACTAACTTTATAAAGAAGTTAATACTAACCTCAAATTACCTCAAAAAAAATATATATACATATATACAGTTTTATTTTATTTGTGTCATGTTTTCTAGAAATAAAAAAGTTGAATATTTTATTAATAAGGAACTGAACTTGAGCATTTGAGTGCTTGTCTCGTAGTTGATCAGTTCTATTAGCTGCTTAGGTGTTGCATTCATTTTTCCGGCGTACTTGTTGCTTGATGGTGGACAAGTATATTAACACTACAACATTTCTCGTGACTCTGATAGTGATAAACTATTTTTTATGTTGTTTTTACCTTAAGTTTGACCAGTCCCCTGCACCTACGATCAAGCCACGTTCACAACATGAAAAGATCTCGTACTTCATTAATTTCCGTCTGTCCTTATATAAAAATTCATTTCACTCGCTCACGCTATCCGGCGGTGTGCCTATATCCAGTGGCCAATCTTACCGGATATCCTGTAGGTAGGCATACATGTACTACGCGATTAGTTCTGCACAACCCTATCCTGGCTCAAGCTTGAGCAACAGCTTCTGGGACGTGAGGAGACACCGGCGTGCGTCGCATGGAAGAGTTATCTTTCCGAAAATCCGCCTCCACCAGCGAAGCCGTGCATGATTTTCGTTCTTAACTTGGATGCCGGCCGACCTTGCTCTTGAACTGACCGCGACTCTGGCGGCTATTTTGCCACCAAGAAGACCCGGACTTAACGAAAACCGCTCATTGATTGACGTCGCTACTTCCGGAGCATGTATCCGGAGGCACGTCCGCAATTGAGGCATTTGTCACAGGAGCAAATTCGAGCGACGAGCGTGATACACAGTCGTCATTCTGCTCGGTCTATTGCGGAAGGACCGGCCAAACACCACGCGGTCTAGAATAATACAGCGTAGCTTCTCGTAGCAAGAATCATATATGGTGATCACCAAAACCCAATGCGGGCTCCTCAGCTTTGCGTTACGCACAACTCAGGACTGACACCGTAACCTCGCCTTATTTTGCCTTTTTGAATGAGGAATGTCGCTCCTTTAGCGACTTTAAAAGTATCAACTGGCTTTTATTAGTTGTCAGTGGATGAGAACGACTTAGCACGCACTGAGTCATCGCGCCTGGTTTATTGTTCACATCACAGATCTAACGTGTTTTGGCTGGCGATTGGCCGCACCTTATACCCGTCGTGCAGCATGTTACGCCAGCCGTCCCGGATAAACGCACAAAATCGTGTGAGCTGCTGGAGCGAAATCTGCAAACGTAATCGGCTTCGTTCTTTTAAATTGCACAGGAAGGTCACATAGTGGTATGTGAATTTGGCTCATCCCAGAGAGCGCGCTTGACCTCCTCCCTTTTTTTACCCACTGGAAAAACTCTTTCGGCATGTCGATCCTATCTCGGAAAAAATGCTTGTTAAATTTCTGTCTAGGAACTCTCCAACGGTCCATCATCCTATGGCTAGGCCACGAAGATACGGCCTCCTTGACGAGGACACGTTGTATCATTTGTTTTGATGAACATTGTCAGCCTGTAGTTAAGTGCGTTATCTCTTCCAACTATATATATTTGAAAATAAAAAAAAGTACTACTATGTACAACATACAGGCTAAGCTGGACGATGGTGCTCCGTGGATAACTCATTTGATGGAGGATGCTCATGGCAATTTTGACATGACGGTAGCTCCATTTGAGAGAGTTTAGTGGTTTATGAAACGTCTGTGTTAGTTGTTAGTTTCAACTATTAGTCTAGATGGCGCAAACTTGCTTTTCTTTTATAACAAGATCCATACTGTGTCACATGGTGAATTGCACCTTTATATTTTTGGTTAGCAGCTTCTAAAAGTTGCACCCTGAATATCCGTGTAATTATAATTTATAAAGAGCTCCGCCCCGATATTGCCGTAGGTGCTTGCGGATCATCCGTAACATAGATTCTGCCTCAGACGTCTGAAAATTTCAGAGTTACTGATTATTGCTCTCAGAGGATTGTTTTTGGCGCTTAATATGATGGCGTGTTGCTATGACAGGCTACATAAAGGACAAATTCTATAATGGCATCTGCATCATTTGCACCAATTTAATATGGCTGGGTATGAGCAACTAATCCTCAGAGGTTTATTGCTCTTTGTCGATAAAGGGGACTCATTCCAGAAGGTGGGTGGAAGCAGCTAGACGACTGCAGCATCAATGTAATTCGTATTCGGAAAGGCGGAAAGCACTTAGACGAAAGCTGAGATAACTAAAATCTGGCGTAGTCTTTCTTTTATCGGTGGAAATCGATTAGAAAAAATACCACCACATTTGAAATAAACCTTACAAGAATGACAAACAAACCATTTCTAGGGCAGCAAAAAACATCGGACTTCAAAAACTATATCAAATATTTACAATGAAATCTCGCGGACCTTCGAATCTGCAAATGACGGGAGCCTAAGAGTTAGCGGAAGTTGAGAACTTTTAATTTGATTCCGCATTATAAAAGAACACTCTATCGATAAGTGCCACAATTTCCTACTTTATCGGGAAAACTGACTTTGGTGTTCTACCCAGACCAACGTTTGAATATTTAGATTTATTTGAATTTAACCACATTCGTTGTATGTGTATCATTCCCTTCCAAACGTATTACTTCAAACTCTTGCCAATTATCAAACTTAATCCAGCTCATAAAGTAACAATTTTCCCAGGATTTTGATAAGTTTTTGCTTTTTGCCTCAGTCTGTATACTTACATATGATCTACTGTGTTTCTCATCCTGCGGCCTGCTGTCTAATAATCATTTCATGTCATGATAATACCTGTAGGCGATAGTATATCACAAGTTTTTTTTTTTGCAGAAGATACTGCTCACCGCGTTCTACAAATCGATTTCGCTTAGTCCTTTTTTATTTGAATGATTCATTTTTCGCAGTGTTCTGATGCCGTGGTAAGAGTCTGTTGCTAGTAGAGGGCAAACTGTTGCCAAGACGACAATAGTACTATCCGTACAGTACAGCTTGTCACATATCATGAAGCCTAAATGCAGCCGACTTACCACGCAGCCCTCAGGCGTATATAACAAATCTAAAACCTGCATTAACCGAGATTAATAATTCAAAACGAATTATATATAACTAGCACGTTTAAAACTTATGAATCGTGCAATATTTCGTGCATAACAAGTATACAAATAAAAAAAGAACAGGTTACGGTAACAAATGACTTATGTTGTCCAAAAGAATTTCGTCTCTTGTTATATTTACAGTTGTTTTCTTAATTAAGCGTTTTCAAGAAATTGGTATTCTTGGTAAAACAGTGCACAGTTGACATTGCTCCTTGCCATAACGATGGCAAAACGGCCCCCTCTCGTTTCTTATATTGTGAAGGACAGATTTTGGTAGAGTTGAACGTTTAAAAATGATAGGTCCTAATAATAATAAATAGAATCGGTGTAGAAGCATTATTGTTAGCAATCTGGTTAGAAGGGATCCGGTAAAGTCAAAAAGTTTGAGTCTTGTATGTCCAGGAATAGTCTGTGATAACTCGTCCACGATACAAGCAATACAGAACTGATTAA